ATTCTCTGCAATACTCAATGATTTGGCCCCCCTAAGAACAACCAGGGTAAAAAATCGCACTGAGCCGTGGATGCACTCCGGCATACTGACCGCCATGAAAACCAGAGACAAAAAATGCTCTGAGTTTCATAAAAGTCAGTCAATGCTTTCCAAAAGCACAAGCAGTGAACTCCAGGCCCACGTGACTGAACTCAAAATTGAAAGAAACAGACTAAGAAATGACGTAAGCTCCATGATCAAAACTGCCAAAAAGAATTTCATCAATGTCAAAACTGAGGAAAACTAAAATAAACCCTGTGAACTTTGGAAATTACTCAATAACCAGCTTGGCTGCAGTAAAGAACTCAAAACGAGATTTTCTAACTTAAACACAAAGACATATAACAGGCTCATCACAGACAAACGGGATGTGGCCAAGTACTTGAACATTTTTTTCACAAACAGCCACAACTCTTGTAAATAAATTACCCTCCCACTCAGGGCTTTTTGGAGTAGATCACATCATGACCTACTACAAAAACCTAGGGGTACGCAAAGATGATTTCAGTCTAGCAAGGGTAACAACAGCAGAGGTACTCATTAAACTGAGCGCCCTCCAACCTAACAAGGCCACTGGCCACGACAATATCCCCTCCAAATTCCTCAGAGACACAGCAACCGCCATCTCACCAGTCATAGCTCACATAATTAACCTCTCCATAAAACAGGGGAAAGTACCCAAAGACTTCAAAATTGCAAGAGTAACCCCCCTGCACAAAAAGGGCAGCAAATTGGACCCAGGCAACTACCGCCCTGTTTCTATACTTACCTCCATCTCGAAAGTCATGGAAAAAATAGTATATGAACAGGTCGAAAAGTACCTCGCAGAAAAGAAACTAATCTATGAATTTCAATCTGGCTTTAGAACATCCCACTCCACTGACACATGCCTTCTTTATTTGAGCGACCACATCAAACAAGAGGTGGACGAGGGCAAGTACTGCGGCATGGTGATGCTGGACCTACAAAAGGCTTTCGACACTGTCAATCACCCCATTCTGATTGACAAGCTAAAAGCAATTGGTTTTGATAAACTATCGGTGAGCTGGATGCAATCCTACCTGGAGGGGAGAGAACAGATGGTGGAGGTAAACGGTACTCTGTCCCCCCCCCTCCCAGTGAGCTGTGGTGTTCCACAAGGAAGCATATTAGGTCCGTTACTGTTCCTAATTTATGTAAATGACATGTCATCAGCATGTGACTGCAACTTGTTCCTGTTCGCGGACGACTCAGCCCTGCTGGTCTCTGACAGGAGCAGATTGCAGGTTGAAAAAACCCTCAGCTCCGAGCTCGGCAGAATCTGCACCTGGCTCGCCGATAATAAATGATCATTACACCTGGGTAAAACAGAGTCCATTCTCTTCGGTTCGAAACATAATCTCAGAAAATCCGACGACTTCTCAGTTGCAGTGGGCGACATTATTGTCACAAGTAAGAAGGAAATTACATACCCAGGATCTATTCTTGAGGCAAACCTCTCCTGTGACAAAATGGCATCCAATGTAATAAAAAAAGTCAATCAAAGAACTAGATTCCTATACCGGATCTCCTCTCTGGTAAACAAAAACACCCTGAAGACTCTGGCAGGAGCACTCATTCAAGGGTACTATGACTATGCTTGCACGTCATGGTACCATAGCACCTCCAAGGCGCTAAAAATAAAACTTCAAACATCGCAAAATAAACTGGTCAGACTACTGCTTGACCTTTCATCTAGAACCCACCTCACCTCTGCCCACTTTGACAACCTAGGATGGCTTAGAGTAGACGACAGAGTACAGCTACTTGCAATGGGCCTGGTCTACAAGATCCACTACACCTCTATGGTACCCATGTACATGTCAAAATTCTTCCCAAAGGTCAAGGAATACCATGATCATAACACCAGAGGGAGCTCCACAAATCATGTGAAACCCAGATTTGGCACAAAAAAGGGGGAATACACGTTTTGCAATTATGCCACATCAAGGTGGAACGCTCTTCCCACAACTGTAAAGGAAAGTAAAACTATACTTACCTTCAAAACCTCTCTTAAAGAGCACCTTCGGGGGAGAGCATTGCAAAACTGGCCCCGGTAATGGTACAAATCTCAACCTGTCGTTCAATGGACAGCTTCCCCCCCCCCCATCTATGTATATACTCGCATTTTAGACTCTGTTACTAACTGTATATCTGTAGACTTGGTATGTCTTAAATGTCCGGTTAGGATGTATTAGAACGAAATGTAAATTGTAAATAAGCAATCTGTATGTAAAAAACCACCTGTATGTAAATTGTAAATAAGCCATCTGTATGTCAAATATGTCTTATATGTCTTAAATGATATGATGAATTGGAAATGGGGGACCCTGATGTAAACAAGACGAAAGTCTTTCTCTGGTCTGCATCCCCTTAACAATTGTATGTTTTGAGCTGTACTGTACTGTACCCAATATACAAGCTGTTAATAAACTTTTCAATCAATCAATCAATCAATCAATCAATCAATCAATCAATCAAAGCTAAATGGTGTCCATGCCAAGAATACTCATGACATCTATTTGACTTGCTGTAATGCATCAGGGACCCCTTCTTCGATGCTATGACTCATGACGACGACGATGATGATGATGAAGAAGATGGATACAATGATGGCTTTCGAGGGGACCAGCAGGACCCCTTCGACAGTGCCTTGAGGTTTGGCTTCAGCGTGGGCCCTGACGGGATGAGGATCCAGGAGCCCCCCATGTTCGGCCAGGTCCTCAGGGAGATGGAGGAGATATTCTCCCAGCTGGGCGGCTGGGACGGGCAGCCCGGCTCTGGACACTTTGGTATGAAGACTGCCATGTGATCCAGTACTTTACCACTCATCTCAGTATAGAGAAGGAACTACTTAGGTTTGCTTGTGCTATTACAAATTATACATTAAAACATTTCATAATACATCAAGACAGGATGTTAAAATGTTTTTATTTGTATTTATTTTTGTTTTAATGTTTAACAATGGTCAAAATTTGTATTTTTAGTGAGAATGAGTCAATGAGCAATTCTCCATTGTAGATTTAGACTGTGTTTCCCTTATGTTCCAGGTGTTCCCAGAATCCTGCCGCCATCACCACCTCAGGACAGAGCTGAAAGAGGTGCGGGGGGGGTTGGTGGGAACCCCCTGAGAGACTTCATGCTCAGATCTCCCAACAAAGAGCCACAGGGACCCCAAACTGAGCCCAGACATGATGGCCATCCTTCTTATGATTCACCAGAATTCCCAAGCTCGCAATTTCATGGCTGGACCCCTTTTTCAAAGGTGATTTAAGATACACACTTCCATTTTGCCATCGATACTTTTTTTCTGTGGCAACATGCAGTGTTACTGTTATGTATTAACTTCTCTTCTTTATAGTTTAATGATATTTGGAAAGGAGGTCCACAAAGAACTCCAGAGGAGCACAAAGAAGACAGAGGTGGGTTTTTTTGTTTAATCCTATGGAAAAACAAATGAAGTTTATGATTTGTGTTCAGACTGATTATCTGTTCCCATCCTTCCCTTCCAGATCTGGACTCTGCAGTGTCCTCTCGGGGCTTGGATCAGATTCTGACGCCACCTGCTGGTCAGGCACCCAACCAACCCAGAGTCCACTCATTCTTCCAGTCAGTCACCGTCAGCAAGGTGGTGAAACCTGATGGGGTGAGAGAAACAGTTTCTCCTGATGTATGCATGTACTGATACGAAAACATTTTAAATTCTCACAATTATCCCTCTTGTCTTTAAAATATGCTCAAACCCTGAAAAGGGAGATATTTATTACAAACTTCCCTATGACTATTTTATATATTTAGCTTCATCCTCTTTTTATTTCACCACTTTGTTATGAATTCCAATGAATGTCTCTTACTGTGTTGACGTCTGTCAGACTGTAGAGGAGAGGCAAACAGTCAGAGACAGCCAAGGCAAAGAAGAGACGACGGTGACCCGCTCTGTAGGGCCCGGGTTCCTGGAGGGCCCCGAGCATCAGAGAGGACCGGCCATATCAGGTCAGTCAATACATAGTGACTATTCATGAAGTGTACAGGCTTTTTTATATTATCTTGACTAATTTAGCTGCTTGATTTAGGTCTAATGCATTCTTGTCTGTATTTCAGGCGGGCAAAACCCCTTTGGAGACATGCGGGACGATGACTCATTATTCTCAAGTTTCTTCGGAGCGTTTAAATAAAACGTAAAGTGGAGTATTACATGGAGTACATTCTCTAGCTTTGATTCCCTGAAAATGTTGCAATTTATGAGTGTTTCACTCTAGAGCTGTGAGTTTGCATATGTTAAGAATATATCTGTATTTATGAACAAAAACACTTAAGTAACCTTCGATTGCCAAAAGGACTGAGCTGGATTAGGGCCTCTGGCCTGTTGTCAGGGTTACCAATGTAGACTCCAAACCTGCCAATCCCTAAGACTAGTGATTTAACAAATCAACACAAATCAGGTAGTTAACATTTCACAATTACATATTTTATTTTAGAATTTTTCCTGTAGGATAAGCTTGTATGGATGTGAGTGTGTGATATGTCAAATAAAGAGTTTTAATGTATTAACATTGTTGTTATTTGCCTGTTTTTGTGGGGGTTTTACACAGTTCAGGCTAGCCACTTTTAAATAAGAATCATTTTTCACACAAGAAAAATGACTAACAGTCTTAATAGTAAAGGTTGATTTATTTAATACTTCCATTTAACATATTTAGAGATGGTTAATGGTGTCAGACTGATGAGCAGTCCAGCTGGAGTTTTAAATTGATGTGTGCTTAATTCAAGTAAATAACATTTTTTAAATCCTTGTGGCTTACTAGGGACTTTTTTGGCATTAATTTCAACAAGGATAGGAGGTGTTTTGTTGACTTTTTTACTGATTTTGGAAGTTGAACCTAAAATATCCTCATTATACATTTTACAGCCTATGATGTGGTCCACCCTACCAGGTTAGTGTGTGCTGAAAACCAGTCAGCTACAGTGTTTTTAGGTCAACTGAAATGAGAATGTATGGAAGTTATGCATTTGAAATGGTTTGGTTAAAATGGTTTTAAATGAAACCTTTCTAAACCTGCTTTTTCATTGTGGTGATGTACAGGAGGGCATTTCGACATGCAGCACGTTCTGTTCCTGTCATGGCTTTGCTGTTTCTGCCAAGCGTATAACAGACTTCATCATTTCAGCTCTTTCTTCACAGCTTGTTATGGATGACTGCTTCGGCCCCCTTAGTGAATGTGTCAGCGTGACCTCCATCAGGTTTGTACTTTCCATGTGCTTTGGAACCAGAATTATTTTTAATTTAGGTCCAGATAAAATAAAAATAATTACACGCTCTTTCATGAGTGAAATATCAAAAGGTTTAATTTCTCTTTTCATCTTCTAGAAAAGGTGTCTTTGTGAGGGGGGTGGAGATGATAGGACCTTGGGAGTTTTCCTTTTGAAAATGGTCAGTAAACTCAACTTCAGAGAGAACAGATTTTTTAAAGCATTTTTGTAAATGTAGAAGAATGATATAGTGTGGAGTTCATTCTGGTAATGTCCTTTAGACACTAACCTATTTGTGTGACATAAAATCAGATACAATTAAATAAAGTAATTATTTGTTTACCTTCCTCTTCATTCACATTTTAGTTGAAAGGTTATCTTCATATGAATCATCTAAATGGACTTTAAAACATAGTTTACAGATGCTATTAGACCATTAAAAAAAGAGGTATCTTGAAATGCGATTATATTCTACTAAACTCTGCTTCTCTTGTGTTACACTATCTAGTTCAGTGACATATTATCAGTGAACTATAATCAGTGTGATAATCTCTTGACGAACATGTTATCTCCTCACTTATATGTGTTGTTTGCAGCGAGTTACTGCGCTGTTTGCAGCAGTGTAAAATTCAACAGAACTGATGGTGTATATGAGCTGTGAATTATCTCTCATGTAGAGTAATTATCCTTAGCAAAAAATATAATGATGAGCACATATTGCCAAAGAGATTTCCATCTCTTATCAGCTTTATTATTCTGTGGTAAACAATAAAGTAGCAATATGGCACCGAAACAAGTTGATTCCTCATAAAACAGAAGAACTTTACTGAATATTTGGACACACTTTTCTTGTTTTAGATGAAGGATGTCGAGCTTGAGGAGGCTCAGATCCTGATTTTTTGGTCAGAGAAGAAGAAATGTAACAACCAATCAAACAAGAGGGACAATCAGAAGTCATTCCAATCAGCTGTGAAACCCTCCAAGAAAGTCAGGCCTGTTAGCAGGAGTCCAGCTCTGTGCAGTTCTGTGTTCTTTAAGCATATCTTCAGTAGTTTAGGTATGAAGATGCCCTCCAAAATGAACTACTCTCCTCTCCTGCATGTACACTCACCGCCACCTCAGCCATGTCATAAAGTGTGTGACGTAGAATACAGCTCCAGTATGAAAGGGCAGACTGTGCTCAGCCAGGCAGAAAGAGCAGTGCTGTGTGGGGCCCCTCCACCTGCAGCCAGCGGCCCCGCTCTGAAAGATCAGCTGTGGCCCGAGGAAAGCTCCGGGATGGAGAGGCTGCTGAGGAAATGTCACATCAGAAACCAGCTGGTCAGGGAGTGCATGGCCGAATGCCTCGGGGTCTACGTCCTCATTGTGAGTATTCAACTTATAGATCTACATTTAAAGCATAAGATTTTGACAGCAATCAAAGTCAATTTCAATACTTGGTGTCCTTGAATATTTAAAATTCTTCTGTAAAAACATGTTTCTGTTCAAATTTATATTTTTACAGTTGCTGCAGCCTTATGCTTTAAATATAATTTGCTGTAAAATACAAATTACAATGCATTTCTTCTCTAGCAGTTCTTCGAAAGTGTCACCTGATCAGTAAACTATGTAATAAATCTACAGGGTATGCTCGGTCAATTATCTCTGTCATAGAGTAATTATCTTTAATATTATAATGACGAGAGATTTACATCTCTTATCAGCTTTAATGTTCTGTGGTCAATTATAAAGTAGCAATATGGCACCAGTTGATTCCTCATAAAACTGAACTTTACTGAATCAAAGTCGATTTCAATACTCGGTGTCCTTGAATATTTAAAATTCCTCCGTAAAAACATGTTTCTGTTCAAATATCTATTTTTACAGCAGCTGCAACCGCATGCATTTAATAGAATGTGCTGTAAAATACAATGCATCCCTTCTCTAGCTGTTCTTCAAAACTGTCACCTGATCAGTAAACTCAACATCAAGTATTTAATCAATCTGAAGCAATAAAGCAATAACATGCTCACTCCCTTGTTTTGAAGCAAGTTGTGAATCCGCACAATAGATAACCAAGGACTTTGGCCTGAAAGACAGACAGTATGAAAGACAGAGAGAGAGCCAGTGGGTGGGGACGGGGGAGGATTAGAGCGAGGGTGGTGCATCAGTGATTTGGTATGAAGCAGAGATGTTTGTTGGTCTCTGCAGCTGTCTCTCCTGTCGGGGCAATTAACGTTTACAACCCAAATCATAAAGCAGGCTCCTCAGCAAAGTTCATAAAAAAGGAAATTATACCAACAATGTGTGTCCTCTTGTCTGAGCCAGATCATGCTGGACTGTTCTGTGTGCAAATAAGCAAGTACATTTGAAGTTTAATCACATCTAAAAAGCTGCAGTTGTTTAAATACATTGTAAAGTCATGCAGATTGTATTTAGTTGAATGTTTTTCACTGCTCTTTATGTTTTGCTAATATAGCTCTTCATTTCATTGCAGCTATTTGGATGTGGCTCCGTTGCCCAGGTGACCACAACTGAAGATAAGAAGGGGCAGTACCTGTCAATCAATCTGGGTTTTGCTCTGGGAGTAACATTTGGGGTCTTTGTGTCTCGTGGAGTCTCAGGTAAGGAAGGGGCTATATCAACCTTCAGTTCACTAAAAATGCTATTCCTCCAGGTTGGAGCCGAAGACTACCAGTTTGAAAAGGAGGAATAAAAAAAACCTTAACTGTCAGAGTTGAATTGCTCTGTGGGTAAAGGTGCCAGGTTTATAATGGAACAAGATCCTGTCTCTGGTTCTGCTGTTTTTTTTAACATGTCAATCATGACAGTGTTACTAGTGTAAAGGAACTTCTAATGTGCTCCAACAATGTACACATAATGAATGAAATGGAAACGCTGGGAGTAATCCAGACATTCTATTTTTGTCGATTTCAGGAGACCTACATCTGTTTTTTAAATTCTGAATGTCTCATTCTTCATTATTCTCCTCCATAGGCGCCCACCTGAACCCTGCTGTCTCTCTGAGCCTGTGTGTTCTGGGCAGACATCCCTGGCTGAAGCTGCCCTTCTACGTCTTCTTCCAGGTGCTCGGAGCCTTTCTGGCTGCTGCCACCGTCGGCCTGCAGTACTACGGTGAGTTCCACCATGATCACTGCAGTCACAATCACACCATATGCTGAAGAGCACTTTAGAGCAGGGGTTCTCAAAGTGCGGCCCGCGGGCCAATGGCGGCCCTCGGAAATGTTTCTGGTGGCCCGCGATAGTCAATGTGACACGCTGAAATGCATGCGTTATATTTTAATCCTCCATGGTTGTATCTAGTAAGAATTAGAATGGAATTTAAGAATGGTAAAACTGCACCCCCTGGGTTGTCATTCCTAAATTATGAATGACAGCTTGTGGAAAGTTTGCTAGACTACTGGTTGCATGGCAACTAGGCATCTCGCGAGCTGCGGTAATTGGTTAGTACAATAAAGAAAGGATTTGTTTTGGAATTATTTTGTGTTCCGTTTTTTCTTGGGCGGCCCTCAATCCAATATTGGGTACCTAAATTGGCCCTCACTCATCAAAACTTTGAGAACCCCTGCTTTAGAGGAACCAGAAATGTTCTAAATATACAAGAGGACAGTCCATATTAAAGGAAAACCTTTGTCTTATTGTCAACGTGCATTAGTCCGTCTCTTTTTCTTTTATTAACTTACCAACCATTTCTGTGGCCCAAAGCCCATTCAGAAAAACAGGTCACAAAGATTCCTTCTGCAAAAAAAAAAAGGAACAACACTTTCAAAAACAGCTGGGTTAGCTAGTTTCAATCAAGTAATACTAAATGTAGAATAACTTTTACATTTGTTAGGGACTATTGGATTAGGACTTTTAAGAGACTGTCATTAATTTCAGTGGATTACTATAAACAATATGACTTTGTATCTGGTATATACTAAAACAGATTTAAGTGTACTTTGATTGTTCTGCTCTGAAACACCATTAAGACGCATTGAAATCTACTTCATTACAATTTGGAAATAATATTGATCCCTGAAAATAGTAGTCATTGACAATTAATTGTACATCAGTACATATTTAGTTACACTGAAAGATAATTATTCAATAAATAGGATTTAATTTTTTAAGTTGCACAACTTCTATGTACTTTAATCATGCTCACATCAGTCTGGTGTTTGTCTACAGATGCCATCCAGACATACAGCGGAGGAGTGCTGACAGTGACAGGTCCCACTGCCACTGCAGGGATATTCTCCACCTACCCAGCTGACTACCTCAGTGTGTGGGGGGGAGTGGTGGACCAGGTTTGAATCTGTCATTCTGCACCTGCTCTAAATATATATATACACACACACGGTGCCTTTCTTCATGTGTGTAACACTCCCATGTCCTCCAGGTGATCGGCACGGCTGCTCTGCTGCTGTGTGTCCTGGCTCTGGGCGACCGGAGGAACAGCCCCCTCCCTGACGGGGCTCAGCCTGTGCTGGTGGGGGCAGCCGTGTTAGTGATTGGCATCGCCATGGGCTCCAACAGCGGCTACGCCCTCAACCCGGCCAGGGATTTCGGGCCTCGACTTTTCACATACATCGCCGGTTGGGGGGTGGATGTTTTTAAGTGAGTAGTTGGACCCAGGCCATTGATTTAATCTGTGAAATTTGCCCTCGTTTGACCCACGTGAATGCTCTATCTCCACAGGGCCGGAAGCGGGTGGTGGTGGGTGCCCATAGTGGCTCCCTGTGTCGGGGCGCTGCTGGGAACACTGATCTACGAGCTGATGATTGAAGTCCACCACCCCCCCACTGCGGCTGAGCTCCAGACCTCGTGTCTGGAGGTCACTGAGGGCAAGATGGGGCTGGAGTTCGGGGGGCCGGAGTGTGTAAAGCCTGCTTAGCCATGATAAAGAGGAGAACAACTGTCATGTGTGCAGTAAATGCTATTTATATTGTGCTTACTAATGAAGCTGTCTTTGTAAATGTCTGACTGTTTATTTGAATATCTATTCTGGTGCAGCAGATCAATGAAAACAGTCCCATTTGTAAACAGAAAGAAGCTGTAAACACTGTGTGACTCTGCAGATGAAGTCAATCGTCTCTTTTACACATTTATTTTCGAAACAGCACAAAGTGTATGGCAAGCAGACCACAACCATGGAAAAGAAAAAAACATAAGATGTTCCACTATTGAGCTATATAAATATGATATGACATATAAAAGATAGAAACAAAAGAAGGCCTCCGTCACATGACCATGAAGGCTGCTTTTAAAAACATGTAAAATAAATAGTGAGTACAGCAAGCACTGATTCTGTCGATAAAAAAGAACTGTCCCAAGAGATAAACGTTTGTATTCATACACATTAAGACAACACAACCCCCGCGCCCTCCCTCCGCTTTGTAATTACAATGTATAGCTACCTCTGGGGGGGAATTATTTTAAACTTTTTTTTAAAGAAAGGGAACAGTACAAATACTATACGTATTCACATTATCAAAGCAAGTTACTAAAACCAGAATGCTTTCTTTTAGTGTAATATGTATTTACAGGGCTAAACGTACACATATTCTACTGGCCTGACCGCTCTTCTTCTAGCTTAACGATAAACGCACATTATTCACACTACACAGCTTACAGACCTCCAGTAACCCCATCTCTAATGACTTCCTTCGTAAATCTCAACATGTCCGACTCACAGAAATATCAATAGCAGTAATGTGTTTCGTATAAATAAATATTATAGCAACATAAAAATCTGTGTTAAATTCTTCAAACACCCCCCTTTTCATGCGTCTCGAGATCAGTTTTAAACAATAAAAATGATCTCATGCTGGAAATAATGAACATGGACAAACGTATAAAATCACAAACAATGTCAGGTACAAAAATATCGGCACTACAGCTGTCGGGATGGGGTGGGGGGCGTATGTATATTAGTGTTACATGGAAAAACAGGCAAGTGGCTACAGTCAGTGCAGAGTGAAATGGAAGGACACAACGTATTGAACACAGTATGGCTGATATATAAAGGCTTTCCTCTGGGCCGTTTGAGAGCCTTTCCACTTAGGAGTCTATCACTGGTGTGTGTTCAGTCACATGATCAAACATGCAGTTACATTCGCACAGAAGAGGTGCCGAGTAAAACTGTTCATGTGGCTAAAAAAAAACTGCACAGGAAGCAGCTGTTTCTTCTCAGGATTAACATTCATATTCTACATCCTGTCGACTCCTCGTAGATGATCTCAGAGCCGCCCCCCCATCCCCTCCTCTACTGGGGCTTGTCTGTCTTGTGTGCGGTGAGGAAGGCCATGCCGTGGGTCCTGAAGTGGGTGTTGAGGTCCGAGGCCTTGTCGAACCGCCGGCCGCACACCTTACAGCACATGTTCCCATCTCCGTCCTCGCCCTGCGCCTGAGGGGAGCCGTCGGGCGAGCCGTCGGGGGAGCCGTGAGTGCGGGGGGGGCCGCGGTCTGCGTCGCCCTGGTTGTCCCGCACGCGGTGAGCGATGAAGCGGTGCCTGCTGAGGGAGCCCGCCGAGGCGAAGCAGACGCCGCACTGCAGGCACTGGAAGGAGGCGGTGTCGGCGCGGTGCTGGGGGATGTGGCGCTGGAACTCCGGCCCGTCCTCGCTGGAGAAGCCGCAGGGGACGCAGCGGAAAACGTTGTCTTCCTCCTCCAGCTCGTTGGGGGCCAGCGATGTCGATGCAGCGGACTGCCGGGTCCTCTTGGCAGGAGCTGGGGGACCTGAAGGAGCCTCCTCACCCTCCTCTGTGTTCTCTTCCTCGTCTCCCCCCCGGGCTCCAGGTGGCCCCCCCTCCCCGTCCTGCTCCGAGGAGCTGCCGGGCCCCTCCCCCCCTGTCGCTGCTCGCTTCCTGGTCATGGGTCTTTCCTGAGGACACAAAAAGGAAGAGAGACTAAACATTGTTCTGAATTTATTTTTTGATGAACACCATTGCTGTCTCCAAATTCCACAGTACATAATTAATAAAGACAATTTATATAACAGACACCTAACACACAATTAAATGATTATTGACTATTTAAGGCAAGGCAAGTTTATTTATATAGCACCTTTCAACTCAAGGCAATTCAAAGTGCTTGCCATCATTTAAGAGAAAAAACATACTAAACTAACTAGAACCTTTTCGTTATATCCACGCTACATTCACATTGTATACTGTGCTACTGTATAAATATATTAAAAGATACTATTTGCAGTTATAATAATAAAGATGATACTGTTTTGCTATAGCAGGAAATGATGCAATATGCATGGTGTAGTGTTGGGAAACAGCTTTATCCTCTTTGTGTCCAGAAACCGTCTAAACTCACCTGTCCGTCTGTGGATCTGTGATGGAGCCGGATATGCTTGTCCAGTAGGAACCGACTACCAAAGGTGCGTTTCCCTTCTGTGCAATATCTGAAAAATAATTATGAAGTGTTAAAAAAGCATATAAAAACAATTTGGACGATAAAATGACCGATATTTGGGATTTTTTTAAATTCTGATTACAATATAGCAGTAGTTCAGATGCATAAACAGTAGATCAGTCAGAGATTTTCTTTTGGTGAAACATTGAAATGATAAAACATGTATTTAATAAAAGCTGAGGCCACTCACTGGCAATGGAAGACTCTCTTGTTGCCCTCATGAATGACTCGCTCGTGACGTCTCAGGCTGGAAGACGTGCTGAACGTGCCCCCACAAATACGACAAGGGAACTTTGGAGTTGGCGGCACACACAAAGGCAGATAAAAACAAATTGAGTCTCAGTCAAAGATACTGCAGTGCAGACAGGAAATTAACAGCCTCAAGCCTTCAAGTACCGGTGCTTCTTTTTCAGCTTTACCCTCCATGATCAGGGTCATTCCTCCTTTCACACAGTACAATTAGCTAGTTCAACTGTTGGTGCATTAATCATTGGATACAGTGGTGCAGAGATGATGTGTTTATGAAAAGCCAACCCTGAAAATAAGAATTTCATGGGGTTCCTCTACAAAAAAAAGCAATGGGAACTTTTCATTGGACCTTGGAATATTGCATGAAATAGGACCATGGCAAACACACATTTTGTTCAGTAGAATAATATGTGCATATTAACACCACTTTTATGCTTTTTTCAAGTGTAAATGCAATTGACAGAAGTACAAAATTATCGTTTGGCTATAAACAAACTACATAACGGATGGATGGCTGGGGGTCAACCACCGTTAAGCCAAAGGAAGCTAATGTTTGGCGTAATGCTTTATCAACCACCAATTTTAGGAAACAAAGACGCTTCTGCCATTTACTACTGGGGTATTTGGCGTATTTAATGTTGTAGAATAAAACAAGAAAATCTCTTAATCTTGGATTAACCAGATATTAATCCGATTAAAATAGAAAATAATGGGAACTTGCTGTACCTTGCCATGCTCCGTCTTCACGTGACTCAGATAGTCGTCGTTGTCAGTGAAGGTGGTCTGACACTGAGGGCAGGTCCACTCAGTTGGGGCGGGGGGCTGACTGCTGCCCCCCGGGGCGGTCGGGTTACCGCCTGGAGCCTCAAAGTCATCGTCAGCATCGTCATCTTCATCATCTTCCTCCTCCTCTTCCTCCTCCTGGTCCCGACCCCAGTCCTCTCCGTCTGAGTTGTCCGGTTTTCCAGACGATTTGGATTTGAGGCCAGAGGAGGCGGACGTGTTGGCGGGGGCCGAGGGGGGGGCCGAGGCGTCGGACTGAGACTCCGTCTGTTTGGCTGATGGGCCTCTGTGAGCCGTCTGAGGGGGACACAGGGGAGTGTGAGAAAACACAGAGCGTACAGAGTATACAGAGTATACAAAAGGAATTAAATGTAGCTTTAAACAAAACGTACTCCAACTGGCACAAAAAAAACACAAACTTATTTCTGGTACTATGGCGCATTTCCACTACAGCGCGGAGCTCGCTTTAAGCGTGCCATGCCCGTTTTTGGTTGCGTTTCCACTTGGCATAGTTCCGGTGTCAGTACCATATGTGTTCGCCCCACCATATGTGTTCGGGTCCTTCGCTTACCAATGACGTCACACATTGTGATTGGCTGTACGGTAATCACACGCTGATTGGTGTAACTAGGGGCGCTGACTAGGGTATACTGGGGGATAACGAGTCACAACCATAAGCGACCTGTTATCATTCAGGAAACGACAGCGAAGCATCTGGGGTGTTTTCTGGCATTTATTCTGAGAATGAACACAACATTCTCTTTACATCCGCGTTGCATGTCACATCTCCACATAACTGCTCACGTCACTGTCACTAGAATTTTATTTATACATACTAGGGCTGTACCCGAATATCCGAATATTTGTTCGTTGGAGTACTATTCGGGTTTCAATTTCGTTATTCAGATATTCGTTTTGTTTGTTTTTTCCCCGTTTTTTTTTCAAATTGAATTTATTGAAAACTCCAATATCAACATAAGAGCTTGTGCCTCTTCGGGGGGTGCTAACACTTAACCATAAACGTTATCGTTTACTTTCTCCGTCTTTATATGTAGATATTACTTTTCTCTGTTAATCTCCGTCACCTTGTTTCCAAAGCAACAACAACTTCCTGTCAACTGCGCTACCTCTCCTTCAAAATAAAAGCATGTCCATAAATAGGAAGCCAAGCCAAATTACATTTAAGACATATACAACTGCAACGAAAGTAACAAACACAATGCGATATCCTTTTCAATTTCAAAGAACACACATTGGGTTACATTAACAAATAACTATAAAACAACAATACTGTAGAATAACTAAATGAATGCCGTGAATACACCGAAATACGCTTGTTAAAGCGGTTCGCTGCTGATTACTACGCCCCCCCCCCCCCTCTTACTGCCCCGCGCGGGCCGAATATTCGGACAAAGTAAAGAATTAAGTGTATGTTTAAATGTTAGCACCCCCGAAGAGGCTCAAGCTCTTACGTTGAGTCTGGAGTTTCAATACATTCGGAATTTGGCCGTGTAAAATGTCCTCTTGGGTTGCCGTCAAGCCAATGCGTGACGTCATTGGTAAGTGTAACGGACCCCGAACACATCTGGTAGGCCGAACACATATGGTACCTACACCGGCTAGCGGGTACTATTTCACAGTTTTTCTGGCCCCATAAAATTGAGGTTCTTTCCGGGCCAACAACCAGGCTGAGTCGGGCTGAGAATGCTAAACTAGAGAGAGAATCGCTGGCAAGGGGGCTACAACCAGTACTCGAGTTGAGGGGGGATGGCATCCCCCCTGAAATAAAAACGGTCAAAATCATCCCCCTTCTAAAACTGCCATTCCCCCTTTCCATCCCTTATGTAATTTTATCAATGAACGTGGCACTGGTATTACTGCTATTTCAATATTAATTTTGCGCATTTTGAGTAAAATACTGTGGGCGAGGGAGCACGCACACACGCAATGACATTTTTACCAAGTCACTGACGCTATACTATGCGAGTGCCCTAGAGGGCGCCAGAGCGCAGTGATGCGCCTGTTTGATCGATGCCAGAAGCTGCATAGCAGCACTAGCGCAGGTAACGGTCATCACAATGGCCAAGCAACCAGGAGGACAACGCGATCTGAGGGACTTCATATTTAAAAATACTAAAAATAACATTTCAGGTAAGTCAAAAGTCAATAATCTTAGTCATTACTCATTACTTTAGTCACCAAAGGTGGAATCTATGGACATAAGCAGCAATAACAACTTAGTTTGGAGTTTAGCTACGTTTTTCTCTCGTGTTAGCTAGCTGGTAAGACTCAAAACTGTTGATGAAATGATACCACCAGCACCAGAAGAGCTGAAACCCTTCCTTCAAGCAGTGAACACTCTGTTCATCTCCACAGCTGAGTGTGAACGTGGGTTTAGTCAGATTTTAACCACAACTAGAAGCTTCCTAGAGGTAAAAAGCATGTCAGCCTTGCTTTTCATCAAGTGTGTTGGCCCTCCACTGAACAAGTTCAGACCAGAGGTATTATGTCAAGACTTGGCTTCAAAGCCATTGCTTAGCTAACAATCCGAAAGCAAGAGCCAGAAAAATTGAGACCAAAAAGCATGATTATGAAAATCTTTGGAAACTTCTATGAGATGGGGGAGAGTGGAGTAGGCAGCCATTGACAACATTGGTCCTATTTTGTATTATCTGTATAATCTTTTAATATATTTTCATATTTTGTAAACAATTTCAATTTGCACTTAATGCCCTGTTAAAAAAAGTAACATTGGGAATGTTAACATAAAATATTTGTATTTGAAATGCAATAAAATGATGACGGATCAATATTTTTCTAATTTTTTTCCTCAAATTTTTCATGAAGTGTTTAATTTACATAATGATTTAATTAATTACGATACCAATGTAACCCTTTAGATACCAGTTTTGATCGTATACCAGTAACTGCTTTTTTGAAAAAATACACTATAATTCAATATTCTAAAAAGTATTTTGACTTTATTATTAGTATAATCAGCTGATCCATCTGAATAATAAATGAGGGACTGTTAACCTACAAGATTTGTACCATAGACTTCCATTATAACCACATTTTTGTATCCCCTCCCCCCCTTTCAATTAAAGTGATTTTGCACTAATTGTCCTCTGCATTTGACCCTAAATCTTAGTGGTGCCATGGCAGCCCGGGGACCGACTCTAATTCTGAGGTGCCTTGGTCAAGAGCAATGAAAGGAGTATCTGAACATCCATAACATGCATGTTGTTTTAGGAGTATAATAATTATCTTTATGCTGGTTGGTCTCCCACCCTCGGCGGGTTATCAGAATAAATTATGTCCCCATGTGATAAAATCCACCATCCCCCTGATTTCTTTTTACAACTTGAGTACTGGCTACAACTACAACAAGATTAACATATTTGACCGTGATTAAATTGTAATACACGTTTCAAAATGATGCCGAAGTAACAACATACTGATACCGGTTAGTAAAAACCATGAATTAATGCTTTGACAAGTCTGCAGACAGACGGCAGGCGAAAAACCTTTTAAAATGCGTGTTGTCTGAATGGAGATCGGCTAAGCTAACGCAGTATATGCTCCGACCGTCCACACTCAGAACAACGGCCTACAGACATAAACAAACTCCTAACAAGGCCTAACGAGGCCTAGCCATACCGAGCGAGGCCCTGTAGTGGAAATGCGCCATAACAGTTCTTGGTATAGAACTTAAGACAAGGCCACTGAGGAGGAACCTTGCTAAGGCCGATACAAGAAATTGCTGAATGCCTTATTTGACACCACATTCACTGTAGAAAGCAACAAATGGGCAACACATTATAAAGGCAAAAGGCTAATACATGAATTCCAGTGATATTAGGCAGTATCTAATTAACTAACATCTATGATCTGTGGATTGCTTCCTCAATAATAAACACACCTTAATATGCTCCATCATGGATCCTTTCTGGGCGTAGAGCTTGGTGCAGTCAGGGCACTTGAACACATGCACTTTTTGCTTGGCTAAGTGAGTGTCAAAGTGCATGTACAGCAGGGGTTTCTGGGTAAAAACCGTATCACACATCACACACTTGTAGATCATTCTGCAAAAGAAGAATGAAAAGAAAACTTCAAAATGTGTGACAACCAACGTATTTCCTACACATGGGTTGAAGATGATCACGTGTTGTTTTGGTAGAGGGTCTACACGTACTTGGCCTGTCCCCCAGTGAGCGTTGGGTGCTGGGTGCTGATGTGGCTCTGGGCGCTGGGTGCAGACTTGAAGGCCATGGGGCAGCTGGGGCACTTGTGAAAGACCTCGCAGTGAGCGGTCTGGATGTGGGACTTGATGGAGTTCAACCCTCCGAACACAACCTGGCAGCTCGAGCACCTGGAGAAGATTATGACACAGAGAATTATGTATTAGGGTACTAATACAAGATATTTTAAAGGATGTCTTTGATGTGTATATTCCTAGATGTCCACTATAAAAATTTCAAATCAGTAGACATTACTTTTTGTGTCTATTTGCATCTAATTAGGAAAATGGCCAATGCATTGACAAAATGCAGATGCAAATGTGACTTCTTAAACACAAGCCATTTTTATTTCAACTTTGAATCACTCAAACATTTTGAACTTTGGCTGTTGTATGACTACTTGTTACTGAACATTTTATTTTTGGCAGATCTACAAGAACAGTTTTGGAAAGTGAAGATATATGATTTTCTACTTTCTTAAATAATAACAAATAATAATACTCTGCTTAAAAACAACTGTTGTTGAAGATAATCAAAGAACAAATTCAGTTTTCAATGCACTCAAGTATTAAGCATCAAGTGTCCCTTTGGTGCTCTGGGTCATCTATAAAAGAATAGCCTATTTGAAATAAATAGTCAGTGATTTACTCTTGTCAAGGCATAGGCACGATTTGAAGCTATATTACAAGATCATTTAGAGAAGTATTTAAGGTCTTGATGTTTTTTGAAAGTGATTCCCCACCTGTATCCGATGCGCCTGGCGAAGTGCAGGCAGGCCTCCTCCAGATGAGTCTGGAAGCTGGCCTGCCGGGCGGTCCCCCCACACTCAGGACAGACATGAGGTGCTCGGTGTTTATGGATCCTCTGGTGGGCCGACACTGCACACGAGTTAGGCAGCATCATCGGGGGCGAGCACTGCGTACATGTCTGAAACAGAAGATAAGAAAATCAAACGGTGATCACCAGTGTTTCTTAACATCAGGTACCAGCGTCATAGACAGTGGCGACTGGACATTAGGGGCAGGTGGGGCACAGCCCCACCTAGTGTCAGCAGAAAGTATTAAAATAATGATTACAACAAAATGCAAAAAATTAATTAAAATATATATTAAATATATTTTAAGATCATGTTTAATCATCTGATTCGTCTGTACATTGCTGTTTTAGTATGTGTTCTTCTAATTAGTGTCTACAGTGTGTGCCTATTGAGCTGTTTAGAGCCATGTGGGACAAAACCCGATCCTGCCCCTCCCTCTCACTGTCTAAGTGAACGGTGACTGTAAAAACGACACTGCGCATGCTCAGAGTATTTTTCTATTTAATGTGTGTGGCAAAAAATAATGACCATAGGGGCAGTGAGCTGCCATCCCCACCATACGTCATATCACATAATTCAGAGCTGATTGGCTGTAAGTACGTGTGCTGCGAAAAGTGTGGTGTGTGAAGAGCAGGTGAAGAGGAGGAGAGTGACGCATCCTAAAACCAGGAAGTAAGCTGCGCATGGCTTCCCTCCACAAAAAAGCAATGAGAATTCTCCATAGGATTTTAGAAAATAGCTCAAAATAAGATCTGTGGGAAACGTAGCTGTTAGATAAATGTACGTTTTGTTCAGCCGGATAATAGCCACATGTCTACCCTACTTTTATAATTTTCTAATCATAAATCCATCATTTAGATTTATGATAGACTTTTGAAACTACAAGAAGTTAAGGAGGACTTTTACAAAAAAGTAATAGAGATTTTTGTCCAGAAGGATAGGACTTCATCTTCAAGTCAAGGTAAGACCACCATTTTATTGAAAATGGGATCTTACTAAGAGAGAACAATTAAATATTTAAATGATAAAATTACATTTTTTGGGTATCCTTCTGTTGAACTGTCTGTTTAAAATTAATTGACGCATCAGACAAAAGAGGCTTTTGTAAATAATATTATATTTTGATTTAGGTCAAAATATAATATTTGTAAACCTGAAGAGTCAGTGCCAGTGCCTCACCTGCCATGAATCTCTGCAGAAGCTTATATATAGACATCTAAGTTTTTTGTGCCCCACCACTTTTGTACATATAGAAACGCCACTGGTCATAGAGACAAAGACTCACTGAGTTGGGAGCAGCTCTGATCTGCTGGAAGTGAGTGACCAGCTCCGCCTTGCCAGAGAACTGTGTTTGGCACTCAGGACATTTGAAGCTGTTATACTGCAGCCCCTCTGCCTTCTTGCAGGGCAGGGGCATCAGGGCCTGGGGGCCTTGAGGTGCGCGGCGGACCGTTCGAGGCTGAGCTGCTGCCGGAGAGGAAGCGTCCTTCAGGGGGCTGGAGTTGGCAGAGGCGGTGGCAGAAGAAGAGGAGACTGGAGGAGAGGAGGACGAAGAGGAGAGCAGGCCTGGTCAACCAAAGGTGGAGGTCAGGAGAGACAGGTGGGACGTGGTCAATGGAGATCAAACACAAATGAGTGATGAGCTTTTTCATTATTATCAGAACACCTACTTTTTATGGTTCTTCACTATACTCTACACTAGGGCTGTGCAATTAATCGTATTGTAATCTCGATTACGATTTTGGCTTGCAACGATTACGAAAACAACGTAAATCGAAATGCTCCTCCCTGAAAGCCCTCTCGGCCAGGTTGTGTTGTGACTTGCAGTTTGTTTAATAAATCCATATAGACACGTTACAAGGGAAGCGTGTGTGTTTATTCTCAGGTCTCTAGCTACAGTCAACTTGTACTAACCTCATCAAGCTGGAGCCTTTTAGCTACTTCCTGTTTCCGGATAATGGGTTACCAAAATAAGAGTAGAATATAATTAAACATTACAGGTTGTGAGTGAGATTAGTTATCATATTTATATGTTAAGTAGGTTGTGGAAGTGTGCTCCAAAATATTTGTTGATCTTGTTTATTGGTATTTATTATTTTCATAATATTTATTTAAATGAAGATATAAATGTATAATTTAATTTTTATTGAATTTTTGGGTTTTTCAGTTGAATTATACTTAAAGGTCAGGGTAATCAACTGTTAAAAACATAGTTCAATTTTGTTTTTGTTTAAAGTTCAATATATGGATGTTTGCAAAGTCACTGAATAATCGTATTTAATAATTGTGATATCAATATTGACCAAAATAATCGTGATTATGATTTTTGCCATAATCGAGCAGCACACTAGTTGAAATATAAATGTAGAGCTAAAACGATTCAAAACTAAATGAATCTGTTGATTAATAACCAAAATTATTACTATTATAAGCTGATTACAGCTCTTCAGGTTCCTAATTTTTGAATGTTTGCCTGCTTCTTTATAGTCTTATTTAATAGTACATTGATTTTTAATCAATAGCTATGTTTAAACAGCAGTTTATGTCAAGATAAGTATTATTTTTAGGAGATCTGGAAGAATAGTGACTTTAAAACTGACAAGCGACACATTGTAGTTACAAGAGACAACAGACAAGTTTAGCTCACGTGTTAAGTTTCATCTGATTGGTCTTTAAAGAGATCACTACAAAACTATTTAGAACAAATATCTGCAAACAACAATCGGTGTTGGCCGATAACAATTCATCTCAGCACCCTAAGAATGGATTTGCTGTTTTCTGACATAGTACTGCCCCAATGAAAATGAATGAAATTGTAACAAATTAACCAACAGTAAAGATTATTGATCGTCGCATCCATACTCACCACCAATGGGTGTTATGTCCTGCTGTCCAATCATCTGCTCGACAGTGACCGGCCTCATCACCAGGTGTGAGCACTGCATGACCAGCCCACGCTCCTTGTGCTCCCTGGCATGCAGCAGCAGGCTGCACTTGTTGAAGAAGGCCAGCCTCTTCGCACAATGGTTGCAGGTCACCTCGATGCGGAGAGATCTCCTGTCATAGTGCCGAGCCAGGCTGCGCTCCAGGGCGAAAGCGTCTCCACACTCCAGGCAGCGGTACCCTGTGGCTGGGAGCGGGAGACCCCACTCAGGTGGTGGAGGGGCTGAGAGGTCCGGCTTGTAGCTCGGCAAAAGGTTCTTACTGTTCAGGATTTTGTTGAAAGCCTCCACCAGGCTCGACTGACTGCGGGAGATGACGGCTCCTGTGCTGTTGACAATGGAGGCTGGTTTGTTTGGCTGGAGGGTGCCACCAATGATAGTGCCACTGCCTCCGTTAGCCGTCTTATTAGTGGATGTACGTACACTGATCCCACCTGCAGCCACTGAGAACTTTGGAGAGGAGGCCACAGCTGGGGTCGCAGGCAGGGCAGCAGATTTAGTGATGCTCACAGCGGTGGCAGAAACCTTGGCCTTGTCAGATGCAGCCATTTTGTTTTGGACCTTGGTGGCAGCAGCTAGCATGACGCTGCTGGCTGCTAGTGTAGACACAGGTAGAGCATTGAGAGCAGTTACTTTCTGGGAATTAGTTGTCATGTGACCTGGGGAGTCAAGTTTTTGCGCCTTGTTTCCTACCACCTTACGTTCCCCAGTTTTTGGGTCCAGACCTTTTCCCGCAGCGCCACCTTTAGCTGCTACTCTTGTGACAGTTCGGGTGATTCCACCTGTGGAAGTCTTAATTGTTTTTATTCTGACTTTAAGGGGTCGGGCTGGAGCTCCAGCAGCAGCAGCAGGTGCAGCAGCTGCCTTTCCTCCATCACTGGACAGAGGTTTAGACTTGCCATCATCCACATCCATCTTCTCCTCACTTGTTCTTCCATTTTCTCCCTTGTCCCCTTTGCCATCAGCAGCCTTCTCTATTTTATTCCCCACTTCCATCTCTTCCTCCTCCTCTTTGGGCTCCCGGAGTTCAGGAGGAGGCGGAGTGGAGGCCACCGCAGGGCTGGAGCACCTTTTGTTTGCCACTTGAGCAGTAGATTTTGGCATCTCCGGTTCAGGACTCTCTGGCGAGTCTCTCTCTTCTATTACGTGTTCGGGATGCCTGTCCTCCAGCTGAGGACTCTCTGTGGAGCCAGACTGGGGTGTTGATGATGTCAGAGACGCCCCTGAAGGAGTGTCTCCAGGTTTAGGCTGAGATGCAGCAGAGGATGTGGGCTGTGTCGAGGCAGAGTCAGACTTGTAGCGCCGGCTCAGCTGAGTGCAAGTCGGGGAGTCGGGGCTCTCTTGGATCACCAGTGGACTCCCCAGATCAGGGTCAGAATCATCATCCTCCTCCATCTGCTGGTGCAGAAATCCAGCAGGGCCCACTTTGGGTGCTCCGTTAAAAGGCTGAGATGAGTGCAAAGGGTGTGATGATAGGGCAGAGGGTGGAATGGGAAGCAGGGGCTTGGAGGGGGGAAAGAAAGGCGAGGATAGTCCGACGGCCCCCCCCTGCAGCCAGAGGAGACGATCCTGCTGACAGAGAGGAGGATGAAGGTAATGATGCTTTGACACCATCTGCCCTCTCTTGGCCTGTATCCTGCTGCTGCTGGTGTTGCTGCTGGAGGAGCTGCATCTTACGAGCCCGGCCGACTGGATCTCCAGACCCCTGTGCCACAAGCGGTTTAAGTCTGTTGAAAATGTTACCGCCCTGCTTATGTGACTTGCCTGCACCAGCGCCTGCTCCTTCTGAAGATACTTTAGGGGTGTTAATGGACCAGGGCGCTCCGTTAGACTGGGTTTGGCTGAGGGGAAGGGGCGTGGAAACAGCAGACGTCCCAAAACCGTTGTGGTTGAGGGCCTCAGATTCAGCCAACCCAGGGGCACACGCACTGGGACCCATATCCACCCCTGCGATCACATCAATAGGGTCCTGGTCTGTGTCTCCCTCTCCTCCATCTGCGTTCTCAAGGCGTACTTTATTTTTCACAATAACACTAACAATTGGGGTGTCCGCCTGGGGGTCTGCAGGGCTCGGCGGTCTCAAGGATGACCCAACGCCCACCCCGCTATCTGACTTTCCCAGAGGTGCACCTGCAGCTCCATGGGGTCCCTCTGCCTCATCTGGGGCAGACTGGATGGCCTCTTTGGCATCTATGTCAGGAATGTCAAATGCTGCCAACAGGTCATCAAAATCTGGGGTCTTCATGTCCCCCATACCGGGATTACCTCCTGTAGAAACACAAATGTATAAACATAATAACAGCAGGCACCACAATAGCATGAATCAGCCTGTGTTGTTGTCCATCAATCTCTGCTCTGCCTTGCTAGCATAATACCTGCTACATGCAATATGGTAAAATAGTTAATAGTCTTAATATGTGAACGTTTTCGAGATTAATTCAAAGCATTATATTTATTGCATGTACCTTTCGTTATACACAAACTAACAAGCTATAGCAGTTTAGCTTGTGTTCAGCAAAGCTAGCCTAGCTATCAAGATCCTGCACTAGCATTTGTGTTAGCCAGCTAGCCCGCTGCTAGCGGCTGCGTCTCTGCAGCCAAACCCACCTCTTGATAACAGGTTCAGCACTCATTTGCTATGAATGGGAAACACTGCTTTAAAAATGCTTTCAGTGCATGCTTGGCTTTGCAGTAGTGAGCAGTTGATAAACAGTTCAACCAGGATAGCGTTTGGTAGCAGAAACCTCGAAAAATGTTGATCAACGATGGTCCTTCCCGGCGGAGGCTTGCTAGCTGGCCGCTGAGCTCCAGCCAAGGCAGACAGAGAGGAAAAGGGGTCATTTAGCTAGCTAGCGCTCGCCATTAAAAACCCACTGGAGTCTGCTGAGGCATGGTGAGACAGCGATAACAACCCGGTGATGGTAGGGTCGACGATGCCACAAAAGAGGATGATTGGGATGGGGATTTTTGTTTCATATTTTATGTATTTTGATTGTTTACCTGGATATGCGAATCCCGACTATCCTAGCTCGTTTTCAGATGAGAATGCACTGCTTCCCGTCACATGACCCGAGCCATCCTATCAGGCTGAGATAGCGCTGGGAAAATAGACGGAGGATGCTGCAGACGACACGTATATTTGATTCTAACGTGAATTACATTACACATGTATTAAATGTTCTCAACGGACTATTTTTAACATCTTGAGAAGACACTTGAACTCGGGACAGTGGTCTTGAGGAAAACAAATGTATTGTCTCCTCAATCTGCTCACAGAGCTGTCATCAAAATCAGGTTCTGAGGGCAGCAAAAAACACCAAAACACAACATGATTACATATAGCTTTTATTGCAAAAACACACAAACATGACAGGAGTGTGGCTAACTGTTAAATTGAGGAGCCTGTCATCCCAAACGATGTTCTCTTCCGATAGGTAAATTATCAGTAATAATATCATGTAGAGTTGGCCCATATAGCATTTTCACGATCAATTTATGTTATAGGGCAGTCAGATTTGACACTAAAGTCTTTCAGTACTGTGGGTTTTTCGTCATTTCTGTAAATATTGGTGCTTTTGAGTGTCTGACAAAAAAAATTTGAATAATAAAAAGTCAGAGTGTGGTCTCATGCTGGGCTGTCAGTCCGACGATGCATCAGCAGTATTTCAGTATAGTAAAGTAATCCTGCATGAGTCAGCAATTGTCCGGTTTTTAATTTTTTTTTAGTTGCTGTCTGAAGACTGTGTCCATCTCTTTTGTTCCTCACTTCTTTTTCTCTTCATCCTTTTTGCCTTCTGGCTTGTTTCCAGTCTGGGAAGCCAGAGAGCCCATGGCGTTGCGGATGGCCTCGTTGTTGGGGTCGACACCAGGCAGGTTCTCCAGGACGCTCTGAAGGAACTCCGGGTCTTGCATCACATCATAGTCGTCTTCCTCCTATTTTGTAACAATAAAAGGACACAATCACTTTTGATGGATTATGTATTCATACAAGTTAAGATCCCTAAACAAGGCCTGCTTACATTGTATTTAAAAAGTGACCATAATGTCTTCTTTTGTAATTAATAATATCCCACTGTCCAATATTGATTCTGCAATTTATGGGTTTCTACTATGCATTTCATCTTACAGTTAAATGGATTTTGATTTACTTTTTTGCATTTCAAACATGTCACAATTGTTGATTTGAAACATCATATGATGACTCACCTTGGCTGATTCTGCAGTGTCCATTGGGGCCCCTGTGTCCATTTCTCCATACTCTGTTCACAGAAAAAACAAGTAATTAACAGATAACCCAGCAACTATAAGAGTGGTCATAAGTGGTAGCAAGAGAAATTTGAAAATCAAAATGGAACTCACCTCCTCCAGCAAGAGACATCTGCATGGCGTAGGCTATCTGCTCCTCCTCTGTCATGCTGCTGAAGTCAGGAAGCACGGCTGCACCGCTCTCAGGCTGAGACACTGACATCTTCAATAAAGCCTCCTCTGATTCTGTGGGATATTTAATCAAAAATAAGTAAGTGTCATTGTCTAATTCTAACAATTAACATTAACAGCCAGGTCGTGTAGTTAAAGCAAACTTGTAGTCCTCCACTCACCATCTGCACTGGGTGTGGGCACGCCTGCCTCAGTGGCAGAAGCAGCAGCAACTCTGCGGGCCTCCTCCTCCTGCCTCTGGCGCTGCTCCTCCATTGAGACACGCAGTGCCTAAAATAAATCACAGTGAGAATTAGGAAAAACCACAAATGTTTTTTTATGTTTATGCTTATTTCAAAGATACCCAAGGGCATATCATCGTCTATTGTGAAAAGTCACTCTTTTTTTATGTTGCCATTTCTTATAATGCAATACCACATTGGCTATTTATGTGTGGTTAAGTTTCTAACCTCGTACTGGTTCTAAGGTGCTGATACACATGTTTCCATATGTAATAAGCATCTCACACATTAGTGTTAGCTTAGTCTTTCATCAAGTACCTAATAGATTTCCCCACTATTTGCACAACTATACATCATCAATTACTCCTTACAAATATTTGTCCTGATAAGTAGTGTACAATGTTTACTGGCAGTTGAAATGCATCCAAACGTTGCTCACCAGGGCGAGTTCTGGATCAGCACTGGGATCCACACCAAACTCAAAGTCACTGGCACCAAGACCCATCATGGAGCCTCCTTCCCCGGCCAGGATGGGAGAAGAGAGCAGCGCATCAGCCAGGCTGGGCCCCGGAGGGACGGTGACCAGGTGGGAGCCGGTCCCCTCCTTCCCATTCAGAGTGTTGATGAAAGCAGTCAGCTTCTCTGTGTTCAGCTCCTGAAAATAACAGGAGACAGATGGCAAGGTCAGTTGAAACTTAATTTAGAAAAAAGGGGAAGACATTTCAGCAATGGAAATCAATAAAAATACTATATTGTGGGTTATTATCCTTTGTCAATAGAAGATACATTCAGAACTCCTACCTCCTCTCCAAAGTTGATAATATCCACATTCACTTTCTCTTTTTTCAAGCGCTTTGCCAACTTGACAAGCTGCAGGGTGAGATGAGGAAAAACAATTTAAGTGATATTGACAGTGTGAAAAGAGTTAAAAGTATGATGTATAATGGGTAGGAAGTTTTGTGTGTGGGATTGGCACAAAATGTGATGCAAGACTTCCAACTCACTTCTTTTTCATTATCCTCCACAGGACTCCCAACAAAGGCAATGATCCTCATCTTGTGGTTTTTTCCTTGTCTGTGTTTCAGGGCCAACTGTGCAGGAAAAACATATAAAAAATATGGGTACTCAAAAACTGATGCAGCAGAAACCAAAACCCCTCTTGTTTTTTTCCCACCAATTTAGTTAGCAATAAATAGAGCTCCTTCTACTCAGTTTGACACACATATTCAAGTTACACACATGAGCCACTCGGATGCCCACGCAGAAGCAGATGTTTCCTTTGGGCTGGATAGCGTGGAGTTTGGACAAGATGCGGCCAGAATCTGGAGTCAGTGTTGTCAGGACCTCCGCGTTACTGTATGGAAACATGACAAACATCTATGGTTAGTTATAATAATCATCGGCCGTGTGCAATTAAACCAGCAGAACTCTACTTTGGCTGGTGTAATGCAAATCTCGCCTACAAAACACAAGCCCTGACACACAAAACCATATACATCAGACAATCCCATTAGCTTTTTGTACTGGTATTGTTATATATATATATATATATATATATATATATATATATATATATATATATATATTTTCTTCTTCCAGATATTTTGCCATTACTATAATGTAGTCATATCATTTGTATGTGTGTAATATTGTAAACTTTGACCATTATATATGTAATCCCTGCGGGTTTCCATCCTCTCTTTTATATATTTATTATATATATTTATTTTTTTAACTTTGTAATTCTGCTCAAAAACGTACACCAACTGTGCTGGAAAATAACGTTTTGATTATCATCCAAACTTTGACCATTTTGAGAGAACTACTTACTTTGCCATTGTGATGAGGCCCACATTGTTTTCCGGATTGCTTCTTGTTTTTGAGTGGCAAACAATGTTGACAGCATCCTGTTGAGCCTGTAGCCTCGTTGGTAGAAAGTCTCCATTTCTCATGTATTCACTGTTGTCCACACTGCAGAGAAAATATCAGTTTAACGTTGCTCTTATAGCATTACTTAGCTCATCAGCTAGCATCTGACATGTCATTCCCATATCTACTGTGACCAGGCTAGTTAGCCTAGGGAGGCCTAGAGGCTAGTTTGAATTGTTAAAACATCTAAATTACGCTTCACAGTCAGCTCCGTCTGGAAATCTCCGTCGTCTTCACCGGGAGGTAACTATGTAGTTAAATTGCGTCGTCAAAAAAAACCAGCATTAGCATGGTGGGCTAACGATAGCAATTGGTTTTAGCTCATAAGTCGCAACAATCAAATCAACGGAAGATGTCAGTTTCGATAGAAAGCACTCAATTGTAACGAATAGCATTCGTCAATGTGGTTGTATGAGTTACAGCTAAATAAATACTTTAAATCTAAGCATATCTCAGCTAACTTGAGCTACAATGACTCAGCCCGGCTAAACGTCAACGGTCGATAATCAGCTCAGTTAAACGGGACATTTGCTCAAAAACAGATAAAAAAAACGACTAAGTCGCATAATTATTTATTAAAGGCTGAATGAACCGTAAACATTACGACAAATGCACACAAAAAAAGGTATTTGTAGAGTTCTTACCAGACCATAGTACTTTCCAGCCCCATTTTGGAAACTTCTTGTTGCTCTCTGTCGTAGCCTTACAAGCTCACAGGCTATTGGACAAACGCTGAACAAAACGGAATCTGATTGGCCGGGCTTTGTGACCTGTATTTCACATAGTAATTTGTTGATGAACAAGAAAGTAGAATAATATTAAACTTTAACTTAAAGTCCTCTTTTTAGCCTTTTCTGGAGCTTTCAAGTGCATCTCATATTCAATATTCACTTTAATTCAACGTTATATATTCTATTTAACTCAATATCTGTTTATGAATTCCTGTGTGTAGGTTGTGTTGGGGACTTGGATGTACCTTGTGGTTGAAAGATAGATGAGTAGACATGGATAAAAAGGCCATAGTCAATACAATTAAGTGAATGTTTATATTAAGATTATATTGAAATTGGTTATTTTCTTTACATTTCAATCTAGTTGTGTTTATTAAATTGCAAATATAAAATGGAAAGCTACCTCAACATTTATATTGTCTTGCAGTATTTATAGCATACTGCAAAACACTGAAAGAGATTTAAGGTTGATCTGTATAATGCAAACAAATCAACTGAGACAATTTTGCAATTTTTTTCTTTAATAATTTCAGGTACAAGTGTAGAAAAACAGTACATCCCTTGTAAATACATAATCTGTGAAAAGGCCTTGCTGTGGTTCCTGCATAGATGTGCACACATTTATTGTATATAATTCAAAGGCAAGTGAAGACCAACTAACAAAGTATACAGAAAGAAATACATTATGATTTAAGAAAGCAGCCTTAGATACAGGCTTGCTGTGCTATAGAAAGGCACATTTTCAATCCATTATCACTATTCATAAACATTCTGGGCACCAGATCAATACATTCAGTAATAAATACTATAATACATATAACTATGTACATGTTAGGTTCATAGGCTGCATGTGTGACTGATTTGGTGTTTATTCAATGAGAAACAGTTTTACTTTAAATATGGGGACATAATTGGCTGACAGATTGAACAGCCAGCAGAATAAAATATAATTTACAGGATGTATAAATGAACCCAAATGATGCTTTTTAAACTTATGTTGGTGGGAATATTATCAATTAATTTAATGTTATGCATCGTTTTATCATTCAGGAATATATACGATGTAAACAAAGATTTTTGTTGCATGGTCAAAGCATCTTTCAATGTTAAATTAAGACAAATAAAATTACAACTATGCCTTGGTTGGGGCCTGTCTCAAAAATATTTCTTTAGTTTATGAGCCTCAACACACTTTACACTAACAATTTGTGTCTTTTTCTTAATGATTTTATTAAAAGATGACAAATGTTATATTTATGTCATTATTATCACCATTAACCATAAGAAGCCCCACTGGAATATAAAAGCAGGAACAGGAATACAAAAAGCTTAAAATAATAAAACAGTCAAACATGAATCAAGTTGAAAATACACTTAATATATGGTTGACATAAGTAGTAGAGGTGTTGGAAGTAGATTACTCAAATTTAAATAATCCATGTTGAGTTTATACTTCGCTTTTTTCACTTATAGCATCGGACCACAAATAGTGCCAACTTGCAAATAAAAATACTTTATAAAATGTGGTACCCCCAGTGTGTATAGTTTGAAGTATTCAGAAACAAAGTCAAAAACTCCTTTGAAACCATATTGCTAATTTTCTTTTGGCCACTGCATCCCACCCAATGACATTCGGCAAACTTTTTTTCTCGTGGAGGAAATGTAAAAAGATAAAATGGCAAGCATGCACACATACACCATCGAAAAAGAAACAAACCGTTTTGTGTGCAGTGGCTGCAGTGTTAGAATGTGTTCATACTACACTGAACAAATAGGAATACTATGAAACAATAGTTTATAGACTACAGGTACATCTACGTTAGCATTGCCCTGCATGTTTAGAGACATAGTGGGACACCTTGTACTGCAAACATGTATTATATTATAATACAAATGTAATAAATTATAATGGAAACAAGATGATTGTACTGCATTTGTAATAATGTCATACACTTTGGTACATGACACTTTAAACTAAATGCTGTTGTTTTTTTAACTCCTGTAAGAAAGGGGCCTGTAAGAAAAGGGAATTTTCACCCTCACAGCCCATATGTAAGGAGTTCTTTTATCCACACTAAACTTAGCTGACTAACTCACTATTCTTGCTTCATGAGACAGACCCAAGCTCAGGGTTTGTTGTGGTGCTTTGTTTAAAGCCATTCGAGTACCAGTACTTGCGTCACATTTGGACATCTACACACTAGGCCTGAAATTGATATCAGATCGTACAGTTTATAAGTATAAACACTGCTTTCAATAAACCTTTTGACCTGAACATGAGAGGAGTCATTTCTTCTAGCATGGTTTGCATTAAGAGTAGACTTAAAAAAGGCAGCATACCCATTATGAATACAGTAATTTCCTTAAATTAAAACTTTTATTTAAAACTGTGTTCTGAAACACATATGACATGGTTTTGTGTTAAAGCATTCAAGCCATACATGATACTCTGGGCTTGAGACACTTACAGATCCAAGTATGCATGATGATGTGCGACAGCGTTTGTTATACACCAAAGAAGGAGAAATAAAAAAAAAGAATACCATTCAATTGATAACATCGCTTAAATAAGGCAAAGTCCTCTTGTTACACTCTAAATGGAGATGGGCACATCGGTGCCAAGAATAATCCTTGATTGTGCATAAAAAAGCTTTCCTATGAGATGAATAATAGTGTTCAATAAGCACCATAGCCTTAATGTACCCGCAATCACTAGTGTCCGACACAACCACCCGCTAACATGCTCACACCATGTTGAGATTTGGAAATCAAAGTGCAAAAACTAAACAAAAAAACATTTAAAATCCCACTTGGTCTCACTGAAACGATATATAACTTTACCTCAAATCTCACCAAATGAGAGGTTGTAACATTTGTGCTCATAACATCTTCCAAGTTTGTCTCTGTTCATTTGAGTTCATTTTTCTACACCTGTAAACCAAAAACAATGAACACAATTAAAAAAGAAAAATACCCAGAATGAGCTAAAGGTGTCACAAGATTCAGAGGATTTTATTAACTTACAGAGCATTTGCTTGCAGCAGGAACAATGTCACGAAGTGAGACGACCTCCACAGAACCGATTTCTTCAAACTGAGTTCTGCAAGCAACACAGGAGCAGAGTAGTAAAATTGAACAATATAAATCATTGTGAAAAAAACGAATATACAACAAAACTACAACTTCTGATCTGATAAAAAGTTATTCACTTAAATCCTTCTAGTTACTTCCAAAAGTATACATAAACTATTCCTCGTTTTTAGTTAGGTTGTTATTTAAAAGTCTAGATGTCCCCTCTTAAGACGCTGCACTTCCTCAACATGCCGTATTTCCTGAGGATCTGGTTTGTTGACATTTCTGCAGGTGCAGTGTAATAGTCATAGCCATTAACAGTACAATCGATGGGATTTGTACGACGCCTTTACAGAAGGTCTTTCTGAGGCTTAAACCAAAGCAGAAAATTGTATAAAAAATGATAATGCCTCATTCACCATAAAGATTATAATTTTTTTATCTGCAACTAAAAATGTTCATTATCGACAAGGGTTCGGCAGAAATGGCGAAATGATACCAGATTCAACACCAGGACCCGTCAAGTGATACAAATATCAATACAGAACTTCCTGTATTCATTATGCGTCATGTGAATAGGCGCTTTCACGCCGGAGTACTTTTCCCAGGAGTAGTTCCGATAGTTCCTGGGATTTCGCGTTCACACCAAAAAGATCTAGAACTTTTTTTTGCGAACCTTTTCACCCCAGAAAGTGCCCCGGACTCTGAGGAAAATATTCGTTGATATCAAACGGCGGTACTACACTTCCGTATCAGTCGCTGGGCCCAGAAATACTTTTTCCCATTGACTTACATTGGGAAAGAGACGTCTGTAAATCGTTGGATATTTTTTTTTAAACGAAATAAACTACCCAGTATGAACATTTGTATAGCCCTTATTAAAAACATTCGGTCCTCAAGTTGTAAAATGTGCTAATGACGTTATTTTCCTCGGCATTATGAACGCGGATCTAACCCACGGGACCGCGCCACCCGGTGTTGTGTCAAATGATGCACCCCCATCATGAAATGCACCCCTTGTCACGGGAACGCGCATTTGTAAATGAAACGTTAAGACTTCTATGGTTAAGACCTTAAAACGATGCTTAAAACGAAAACTAAACGTCCAGGTTTTTTTTAATGGTAATTTACAGACTGAGTCGCTAGTGGTAGCTCATAATAGTCTTGATTCTTGTGGTTAAACTTTTCGCTCCGTATTTTGATGGTAGTGGTGTAGAATCCTGGATTTTTCATTCATTCGTCACTTCTTTTACGTTCCCACAGAACTAACTGCATTCTCAATTACGTTTAGCTAGAAACGTATTTTCTCCCACGTTACGTTAGTTATGAACGTATCTTAAATAGGTTTATTTTCTACATATCTTTTATCTTTTTTTTTATCTTATTATCATATAATAAACAAAATATATGTTTACAAATGTTACATAGTCTTTGTCAGCATATTTTTGCCACGTTATGCACCCCTTGCTATCTTACAAAATAAAAGTCTCACATTCATGAAACTTGCTCTATTCATTGGTACTAGTCCTACAAATATACCCTGAATACTTGAGGGTGGGAATAAGAGAACCATCTTTTTTAGGTGGGTGCCATTTCTTATAATGCAATGTTTAGTTTTTGTTTTAAGGTCTTAACGTTTCATTTACAAATGCGCGTTCCCGTGACAAGGGGTGCATTTCATGATGGGGGTGCATCATTTGACACAACACCGGCACGTTCATTTGACGTGTTCAGTACTACATGAGTTTTACCTTTACCCATGGATGCACAATAAGAACGGATTATATGATTATATGAATACTTTTGTGACGTTTCACTCTTAAAAGTTGGGCCATTTTGTCTTCATGCGCCAATGAGCAACTCTCATAGGAATGAACGAGGCCCCGCCTCCCACGCTGTATCCAGTTCTTATTATACATCCATGCTTCATTTGCGTAATCCTCCCTCAGGGACTTATTCCGGCGTGAACGCGATCTACTAGATCGGGGAACTAAGTTCCGGGAACTATTCCTGGGAAAAGTACTTGGTGTGAAAGCTCCTAATGGAAGCAATCAGTTGCGGAAAATTCAACCACCAATCTCCCACCCATAATTATTTGAATGTTTTTCAAATCAATAAATTCAAATTGTATTTAAGCTGCACTCGATTTAACCACACCCCAGACTACATGGCTTTGAGCTGCTACAGAAGCGGCCATTCACGCATTGCATTAAATAGAATATGGCTTACGACAATAAGCTGCAAGAAAAACCTTAAACAGTATTTTAAATGTTATTTTAAATTAAATTATATATAAGAAAAACACACATTTTATAATTGCCTTTTAGACTATATATATATATATATATATATATTTATAATCTTTATTATAATCTATGTAAGTACCGAACACATTTAAATATCCTGCTGAGGATCTCTCATATAAAAACATCTTCATGAGTATTGTTCCTCTTACCTCTTGGTGGTGCTGTGCTCCTGGTCTTTGTTCGATGTGTTGTTTAAATCCACTCCCACCGACATGTATGTGTCCTCAGAGGAAGGCGGAGGCTGACTTGTTGGAGCAGGGTCTCCCGTTGAGGAGGCGGTTTCAGCAGGTTTGCCAACAGCATTGCTGGGCGGTAAGGTCTTTGGGAGGAGGTCAGGACGACCTGACTGGAGGACTGGGTGGAACGGGAGGGAAAACAGTTATTGCTGTGTTGTGAGAGAAGCACTTCACAAGCTGGGACACGCTGGAGGACTTAATCTGCACAAAGCAGAATGAGTTTTCTGCACTCCAGCTGAAACATACAATTCCTATTTCCAGTTCTTACCTTTGTCTCCTTCGGTTTCTTCTTTGGTCTCATCGCTGCTTTGACTTTGGAAAACAGGGTGCTGGCTGTTGATGCTCACTTGAGTCGACAGAGGAGGCCCCGGTCCAGCCAGCTTTCTCAGAGGAGCATGTGACACGGCTCGCCGCTTCTTAGATGGCGAGGTCTTCGCTACATACAAGAGGAAAAAGGATCAATGAACAGTCCTAAACTCAGACATTATGGGCTCAATGTTGGTGTCAGGGCACGAGTGTGCACTGACAGGAAGAGAGGCGCTGCACAGGGTGTGGCAATGCAATCCTGGTGCCAAGATGCATTCCATAATATGTTTGTGACTTTGTTTGTTGAATGGCTTAAAGGGATCCATGTTGACACTTCACACACGCATTAGAATATGTCTCAACATGTATCTCAAGTGATCAGATCTCATTCAAATCCAACATATAATTTCTGTTTGCCTACACCAAATGCATTGTTGTTTTTGACGAGGTGGTAATACACTCCTCGATCCGTGTCTGCCAAAAATGAAACCCAAATAGCGAAATATGTTTGATGCACTCACATCAATATGGTCTTTTTTGACATTTCAGACGTCATACACAAAGCCAGTGTAAGCGAACTAATCTGATGGTTATGAAGTTACCTATGGGAAGCAGTATTAACATCATATGGGAGCAATTAAAAGTTTGTCATTTTAGTTTGGACTACAGAGCCTATTTGTTATTATTTTACTTCACAAGCAACTTGAGAATCAACTAGAGATAAGACTGGAGGAACAAAACAAGAGGTTTTGATGACGTATTTTCCTGCTACGCCCTTGTCTCGATGCATCAAGAGATATTAGCGTTTACACAATAAAAGATTTGTGGCCAAATGTTTCCCAGACCAGATCTACAAGTAGTTTGAGAAATCCAATCACAGTGCAATCGTTAAGATGGTGAAAACAGAGTTATGAATGCAATATCTACTTACATATAGATAGCTTCCTGAAGACGACATTGCACATGAACTTGTGAAATCGGTCTGCGTAGAAACTCGGTCTGTGAACCGATACAGTATCCTACAGAAGAGGAATGATTCACGGGTTACATATACTGTGAATATTTTCATTTACAACACAATTATCTGATAAGAGTGGGGGTACCTTACCCCATCGTGTACCAGCGCTTTCCACGAGTGTTCAAGCCTCTTTACAAATCTGAAAAACAACACATATAGCCCAGATTACACTCAGTACGCCTGAACACATCCTGGGTTAACACAGAGAGAGCCTAGAAGAGAGTGTAGAGAGTGAATCAGTGACTGGATGAGGGGTTTGTCGATTAAACTTAATAAAATGTGCTTACCTATAGGACTGCAGAATGTCAATGATACCAATATACACCAGCTGCCTCTCGCCTTTTGAGTTGCGTGCTGGGATTCCTCCAGTTCTGTTCAAATTTAAACAAAAACAATTAGATTTAATGTATTTCAGTGAACATGACCGCTCTCTGGCAACTGAAAATCAGTCGCTCACTTGTCCTCTGTGTCCTGTGATCCCATGCGCCCCACATCAGCCTGGATGGCCTCGATAGCAGTGCTGTAGAGGGACTTCTGACCCTGCGGCCTCCTCTGGTCCGCTGCCCCGGCAACTGCCTCTTCGCCAGCATGCTCTAAACACGCCTGATCAACATTGTGGACTCCCACCAGAAGGCTGTAGTCCATAATCTTAAAACTTTGCAAAAGCTGGAAGGAAATCAAGGAACACACCAACATGGGAATACAAACTAATTAGAAAGAGAAGAATATGAGGGAAAAAAGCAGGTGTGTTTTTCTATTACTGATTTGTGTATGATCTTGTGTGTAGTGTTTAAGCAGGCATCACTGTGGCTCTCTCACCAGACAGTCTCTCTGGAGGGTCTTGCAAACAGCATGGTACTTGTCCCCCTCCAGTAACAGCCCATCCTGCATGTTCTGCAAGAAATCCAGGTCCTTGTATGTGGGCACGGCCTTCTCCCTCTCTTTAGCTGAAGCTCGTCTCTTGTAGGTGGAGCCCTTCAGATCGTACTTGAGGTGCATCCGTACGGAGCTCGGCAGCAGATTGTTCATGACTACAATGCGGATGTTCTTACCCGCTGCCTGGACGCAGTACAGGCCGTAAAACTTTGGTAATAAGGTCCGCTTGTTCTGGTTCAGGTTCTAGACGATGGCAGAGAAGAAGAAAGCGATTTAAATTATTAAAAAACGAAATGGTTGACTAAATTGAAAAATACATAAATTATAAATCAAATGAGTAAAAGATAACAAATCATCCCACATTGTTAAGAAATCTTGAGTCGGTGTGTATCATTTTAGAATGTGCAAATAAGACGCAGACAATCAAATAATGTAGGGGTAATATTTGGATTGAGAGTTACTTCAAAATCAAATCTAAGTATTTAAAATCTGTTGAAGCAGAATCTAATGATTTCTTTTTTCTAAGGATTCATTCATTTCATTGTTTATTTTAACAGGGACAATGCACATTAATGAACACTTAAGACAATATGCCGGATTTTAGCTTTGAGCTAATTTCCATCCGCAGTCCCTCACATACAACATATAAGAACATGACATTTATAAACATAACAAAAATAAATACATGATATGCAAAAAGAGCAAGAGCAGCATACACAAGCATTTACCACATGGCAGTAAAATGTAGCAGCAACGACATATTAAGTGCAAGAGAAGATACAAGAGCTGCATAAAGTGCAAGAGGAGATACCCCTTCATTAAACGGTGATTGCACGTCTGTTTGTTTCTCAACCATTCTTTGAGTTGACCTTTAAAACTATTGAGAGTGGGACAATCCCGTATCTCAGTTGGGAGGCTGTTCCACAATGAGCTGCCTTTAACGGAGAGGACATTTTGTCCAAAAGTGGTCCGTCTACGGTGGACCTCAGTCTCCTCTGGTTTCTGACCTAGTGCAGCGTCCAGTGTCTTTTTTGTGGATGAATTCCCCTAAATTCAGGATCATTGGTCTACAATATGACTGTATTTCTAAATGAAATGTATTCAAATCTATCATACTTTCAAACCAACAGACTAAAGCCAAAAGGTGTTTAGTTTTTTGTAAGATTTGCATGGAACGAGCTACAGCCAGTTCATGGAATGCTTTGCATGAAAAAAGGACTAGGATTTAAGAGTAGTGGATTATGAAAATAACTGCAGATTCATTCTCATTCTTAGAGTTAAATTGTAACAGCACAAGTTCTATCTAAGATACTTTGAATTTGAGGGATCAATGTACAAGAGTATATTGAGTAGGATTCAGTCCATAGTTTTTTTTCTCTGCAGATACCATCTTGTACATAAAGCCACTCAACAAATCTTACCATGAAGTATCCTGGAAGCAGTTTCTGCAGAAACTCCGCCTCTTTGTGCTGCACTGTCTTGATGATGAACTCATCATCACTGGAGACGTAGAAGAGAGATCCACTGGCTCCGGAGTTTGACAGCTCTATCAGCGACTCATTACACAGAGAGTACTGTAACCAGACAAACAACACAGACTCAGAGGTTAGAAACAAGCTGGCCAACCTCCTCACAGATCTTCTCGTTATAAAACCTGAAGGTAACCCTCTACTAAACCGACAATCAAACCTAAAGCAACACATTGCTGTTTAATTGTTTAGACTTTTAAATACTGGATCAGGGATACTTTGAGGTTCTTGAAATCAGATGTGATGGGATTTGATACCTTTACTGTGTGACTGCCCTGTATCACATAGTTAGTTAACAACTTTTAAACATAGTTATCCTATTATCAAAATCAATTACTTTGTATGCGTCACCCTTGGTTATTATTTACATTATTGTATTGATGCATCTGCAAATAAGAATGTGTAGATTAACATATCAGTGATACTGTGTGTGCACTGAAAAGAAAAAAAGAAAAGAGGGAGGGAGAGGAGGGAGTCAAAACAGATCAGCCATGCCTTTACATCAGACGCAGCTCCACCTTCACATTAACGGTACGTCCACACAGCAGCTTTAAACAAATCTTCCAACGCTTCTCTGCCCATTGACTTTGAATGGGGATGACGTCACTTTGCCTTGCTTTTCGCCGAACTGCATTGTGGGGGAGCGAAGCGAAGATTTCTAGGATTTCCAGGATTCAAAAGTTGAGCAATGTTCTACTTTTGAAGCTGAGCTGGAAGCGTCATCCAATCAAATCCCGTTTATGCAAATCTGACAGTAGAAGCGCCAGCCAATCAAACCGCGTGTAAGCAGGGAGAGCCAGACCGCAGTTCATTTCCTCATATTCCAAACGAGAAATTACGGTAGCAAATCACCCGGTTCTTTACGACCAGACTCTTTACCGGGATACCAACCGGAGGAACCAGGCATGGAGAGAGGTGGCAGAGACAGTGGGTGAAACTGGTAGGTTTTCGCCTGTTTGGGGAGTTTATATATATATATATATATATATATATATATTGCTCGCATAAAATCCCCGGGGTTTTTTGCTTTGTATGTCGGGGGCGGGAGATTCATGTGATTGGTTGTTGGTCGCGTTGCTCGCAAAAAATCCCCAAGCTTTCAGACACGCCCAGCTCCAAGATTTTCGAAAAGCTGCTGTGTGGACGTACCATTAAGTGTCAACACCCGATTACTTCACACTTCCCCAGTTTCACTCTTTACACTTCCTCAATAACGCCTTTCTTCTCACAGTTCACATCTCTCTTTCTATACTGTGCATGTAGCACATTTTCTGTGAACATATAAGATGCTGAGTAAACAAGAATACCATGTAGTCGTCAGGCCGGATGCCAAACATCTCCCTGAAGTAGCGGAAGGCCATTGGGGCGTACGTCTTGAACCTGAAGTCTCCATAGTGGTGGGCTGGTGTCAGGTTACTGCCCTCACTGCCAGAAAAATACACAAGAGCCAGAGGATTAGACTACATAAAGAGTTAGGTAAAGGAGTAATAATGTAGCACAGACAAAACATAATTACTTCTACAACAATATTTAAGACTCGCCTAGGAAAGAAGATGCTTTCGATGCTTTCAAAGTCCTGCAGCAGCACGTCTCTCTCAGGTTTCTGAGTTAAGCTGCCCACCGTGTGTGTGATGCCTAACTGGATAGCGCCTTGGAGGGCGGATGATGTTGTCTGGAAGAAAGAGCAATCTCACATGTAATAACAAATATATATGTCTATATATGTGCAGTGTGCATCTGGACCCGGTGACGACATTACCTATTGACGCAGCAACCACTGTAAGTTATATTCTTGTTTAATTAGACTTCTCTGTTTCATTTATTCGACTCTGTATAAATTGTTATTGTAGTGTAAACGGCTAAATCGCGTTTGAGAGATTTTAAATCTCAGATCTGCTCAGGCGAAACCTGCTTTACAGGTCTCAGCACTCAAGCCTGCATTAATATAGGCAGGGCCAGTCTATTGATAGCGTGAAGTACAACCGCGTGACTCAGTCATTTTGTACCTTAAAAAGCATTTAAATACCACATTTAAAATCTGATGAACTCAGTGTGCATCTGGACCCGGTGACGACATTACCTATTGACGCAGCAACCACTGTAAGTTATATTCTTGTTTAATTAGACTTCTCTGTTTCATTTATTCGACTCTGTATAAATTGTTATTGTAGCGTAAACGGCTAAATCGCGTTTGAGAGATTTTAAATCTCAGATCTGCTCAGGCGAAACCTGCTTTACAGGTCTCAGCACTCAAGCCTGCATTAATATAGGCACGGCCAGTCTATTGTCGCCCATCAGCTGTAGATAGTTAACTAATTAGAGGGCCGTGGCCCTACAGCTGTGTGAACTGAGCAATCAGGTGTCCATTTTTGGGGAGCTCTTTCCTGGAGCGTCAGACAGCCGAAGACTGACAAAGACATTGGAGTCCTGCGGGAGTCAAAGACTGACAAAGACATTGGAGTCCTGCGGGAGTCAAAGACTGACAAAGACATTGGAGTCCTGCGGGAGTCACGAGGGAGGCAAAGAGGAGGCAAATCCTACTCTGATCGAGCTGGTGTCTTATTTCTCTTTTCTTAAGTTTTCTAGCCCCGCATGCTATAATCATGTGTATTTTCTCTATTCCTGTTCATGTGTCTTCTCGCAATTATCACTGGCCCCGTGTATCTCCTAATCGATATAACCGGCCTGCTCTCGTCTATCCCACGTGCTCCACTGAGATCCAACATCTAGTTTCTGGTGGCCTGTGGAATTGCCAGTCAACTGTTCCTAAGGCTGACTTCATCTCTGGCTACGCCTCCCTGCAGTCTCTGGATTTCCTTGCTCTCACTGAGACCTGGATTACTCCATCCAACACATCCACCCCAGCAGCTCTCTCCACTGCATATTCCTTCTCCCATACACCCAGACCCACTGGCAGAGGAGGTGGCACTGGTCTCCTGCTCTCTCCCAAATGGAGCTTTTCCCTCTTCAAGCTACCTAACTTCACTCCTTCCACCTTTGAATTCCATGCTGTCACAGTAACCCATCCTATACAGTTAACCATTGTTGTTCTCTACCGTCCACCAGGCGCCTTGGGGGACTTCTTGGAGGAATTAGATCATCTCCTCTCACTCATCCCTGAAACTGGCCCTCCCGCTGTACTTCTCGGAGACTTCAACCTCCAGACGGGGAAGATAGACGAACTAACATCTCTGTTAACCGCCTTTGCTTTCTCACTGTCTCCGTCCCCACCGACTCATAAAGCTGGCAATGTCCTTGATCTCATATTCTCAAGGAACTGCGCTACTTCTAACCTCTCTGTAAACCCGCTCCACACATCCGATCACTTCTTCATTTCATTCTCTCTATCCCTTTCCAAACATAACAAACTAATCTCTTCTCATCCTGCACTTGTCCGCCGTAACCTTCGCTCCCTCTCCCCCTCTAGCTTTGCCTCGTCGGTGCTCTCAGCCCTCCCTTCCTCTGATTCGTTCCATCTCCTGCCTCCAAACTCTGCTGCAGAAACTCTCCTCTCTACTCTCTCATCCACTCTGGACTCGCTCCGTCCTCTCACATCTCGGCAGGCTCGTCAGTCCCCTCCTGCTTCCTGGCTAAATGACGCACTGCGTGCTAATAGAACCGTCCTTAGGGCAGCAGAGCGGAAATGGTGGAAATCCAAACACCGTGACGACCTCCTAACCTATCAAGCTCTCCTCTCCTCTTTCTCTGCTTCGATCTCTCAGGCAAAAAGCACTTTCTTTCAAGATAAGATCCAATCTTCCTATTCCAATCCTAAAAAACTATTTTCCATCTTTTCCACCCTCTTGGACCCCCCCAAAGCTCCTCCCCCCTCCTCACTTCTGTCAAGCGACTTTGTTACCCACTTTGAAAAAAAGGTTGATGACATTCGCTCTTCTTTTTCTGACTCACCGCTGGGTCACCAGACCCTCCTTCCACCAACACACTTACCTCCTTTTCCCCTCTCTCTCCAAGTGAGGTTCTTATCCTCATTACCTCTGCCCGCCCTACCACCTGTCCTCTGGACCCTATCCCTTCAAACCTCCTTCAGACTATCGCTCCTGATATTCTACCATTTCTCACCCATTTCATCAACACTTCTCTAACTTCTGGTCACTTTCCAAACAGTCTCAAGGAGGCAAGAGTAAACCCTCTCCTAAAGAAACCCACTCTCAACCCGTCTGATGTTATAAACTACAGGCCTGTCTCTCTCCTCCCGTTCCTGTCTAAATCACTTGAACGCGCTGTCTTTAAACAACTCTCCTGTTATCTCAATCAGAACAACCTTCTGGATCCACACCAGTCTGGTTTCAAGGCAGGTCACTCCACAGAAACTGCTCTCATTGCTGTCACGGAGGAACTGCACACTGCCAAAACTGCATCCCTCTCCTCTGTCATCATCCTATTGGACCTGTCTGCTGCATTCGACACGGTGAATCATCAGATCCTCCTTCGCACTCTCCAAAAACTTGGAGTTTCAGGCTCTGCACTTTCCCTCCTCACCTCATACCTGAAAGACCGTACCTACAGGGTGACTTGGAGAGGGTCTGAGTCCGACCCTTGTCAATTAACTACGGGGGTCCCTCAGGGCTCTGTTCTTGGTCCCCTCCTCTTCTCCCTGTACACAAACTCGCTCGGATCAGTCATTAGCCCGCATGGTTTTTCATACCACTGCTACGCTGATGACACCCAATTAATTCTGTCCTTTCCCCGCTCAGAGACCCAGGTCGTTGCACGCATCTCTGCTTGTCTAGCTGACATCTCTCAGTGGATGTCTGCTCACCACCTCAAGCTCAACCTTGACAAGACTGAGCTGCTCTTCCTCCCGGGAAAAGATTGTCCCACTCTTGACCTAACAATCAACATCGGCACCTCAGTTGTTTCTCCCGACTCAGACTGCAAGGAATCTGGGTGTGACCCTAGATAACAACCTGTCCTTCACTGCAAACATCGCTGCTACAACCCGTTGCTGCAGATACACGCTTTACAACATCAGGAGGATGCGTCCCCAGCTGACTCAGAAAGCGACTCAGGTTCTGGTCCAGGCTCTCGTCATCTCACGCCTAGACTACTGCAACTCCCTCCTGGCTGGTCTACCTGCATGTGCCATCCGACCTCTGCAGCTCATCCAGAATGCAGCGGCTCGTCTGGTCTTCAACCTTCCTAAATTCTCCCACACCACTCCGCTCCTCCGCTCCCTTCACTGGCTTCCGATAACTGCTAGAATCCACTTCAAGACACTGGTACTTGCTTACCATGCTGCGAATGGATCTGGCCCTTCCTACATCCAGGACATGGTTAAACCGTACACCCCAGCGCGTGCACTACGCTCTGCATCAGCCAAACGACTCGTTGCGCCCTCGCTGCGAGGGGGACCCATGTTCCCATCGGCGAAAACACGTGGGTTTGCTGTCCTGGCTCCAAGATGGTGGAATGAGCTCCCCATTGACATCAGGACGGCAGATAGCTTGCACATCTTCCGGCGCAAACTGAAAACTCATCTCTTTCGACTCCACTTCGAGCGTTAGAACTATTAACGAAGCACTTTTATACTAATAAAGGACTGGATTACCTAAAGCCAGTTGAGTAGCACTTGAAATGTTTGGCTCTATGAAACCTGATATACTTATATGATTCTGTTTTCTTCAAGGTTGTGTCTTCCTGGTCGAATGTACTTATTGTAAGTCGCTTTGGATAAAAGCGTCAGCTAAATGCAATGTAATGTAATATATCTCTATCATCATAATCAATCCCAATAACAGGACTGGCCAAGAAACAGACTAATCAAATCTTATAAAATTTTGCTTTTTAGGCTTTAAAAAAAATACATTAACAGTAAGAGTAGAGCTGCAACAGTTACTCAATTAATCGATTAGACAATCAACACAGCTATTTTGATATCGGATTTAATGTCAGGTCATCTTTTGAGGTAAGACTCAATACATCGTTAACACTTTGAATTCCTTTGGGTTTTGGAGTGTTGGCCAGACAAACAAAAAGTATGAAAGAGTCACGTCTGGCTCTAAAAAAAGTCATATTAAAGTGACAATAATTGGCAGCTCTAAGTGAGTAAATGTGTGTCAGTCAATGGCGGCCCTACCTTCTTATACGTTGTCTCCCCCGTGGTGTCAATTCCTCGATGGCCGATGGTTTTTTTCATGGCCGGAGACATGGTGGTGATGGGACTCTGTTGGTAGAAACAAGGTGGAAAGGAGAATTACGAGAGGAAAATCACTCAAATGTAATATTCTGTACTTTGTTCAAAGAGGAAGGAATAGATGATGTGTCAGCCAAAAATCTGTAAACTTTGTAAAGATGAACGCAATGTGTGTTTCCTAATTGACACATAGCTAGATTACGCATTTCCTACCAACAAATCAGTTATTTCTTACCTCCGGAGGCGCATTTTTTCGAGTCGCAGCCGAAACTGAAGTGAAAAAGGGAAGGAGCAAACATTTTAGAAATGAATACACAAAAAGGAATAGAAAATAGGTAATTCGACAAATGCAATCTCACACTGGATGCATAAATATCACACAGCACAGCTTGAAACAGCATCTACCATTTCAACTACTGTGGAAAACAAAGGGTGCAGCTTTGAAACAAGCATGCAGACGCACCTCGTTTACATTACCTCTGAGAGAAGACAGTCTCCTCCAGAACTGAATCTGCAGGTCTTTGCGTGCAATGGGAGGAATTAGATAAGTATGCTATTACTATTAACGTGGGTTCAAACAAGGCTAATGAATGCTAAAGTCGATAGGTAGGTTTCTGGGAGTCCAAAGTCAACATTAGCCCTAAATAGTTTACTTTTATATTTTAAGAATAAACAAAATGTTGTGACTGTGTGCCTATCAGTTTGCATCGTTTCATTATTTACAGGGAAATTCCGTCATGTTACACTTTAAGGAGAAACTATATTTGTGGTAAAGTCACACTTAATTAGACAAGAAAAACAACATTTGCTGAGTTAACATTTTTGCTAAATTGCCCTATGTCCTGCAGCTTATCTCCACTCACTTGGTTTTTAGTACACCTGGCTAAAGCTAATGCAGTCTCTGTGCTAATTCTTTTTGACAACAACAGATTAGAGCTGCAATGATGAGTTGATCGACAGAAAAATAATGACAAAATATTGAGAGTTCCTTCTTTTATCGGTTTTATATCATAATAAACTGAATATTGTTAGTTTCAGCACCACTGAAAAAGTATTGGTGGCTTTAGATTAAGCTAGGTATGTCTTATTACCTGGAAACCGAGGTACAACACAACAATGGAAATCATTTGAGAATTACAGTTATTAGGGTTACACAGTTGTGTGTGTGTTAAACTAGGAAGATACAGGTTTGCATTGTGACATCTAGGTTAATTAACCACCTTGGTAACTGACTTACTAACTAATAAAATGGTGGCATGCCCAAACATGTTTGTCCAAAGAAATCCATAACCCGAGCCGATGTCCATGTATCTGTCTATGTAAGTGAATGACTCATCTCAAAGGGTTCATCCTTATGTTCCCGAGGGTCCAACACCGTTTCTAATTATGGTTTGAAAGAGGAAACATGATCATGGTAAGTTGAACCTTGTGAAATGACGTTGCACCAGAGCTACATCCTCTCAAAGTTGTTCTGTTGCTTTTTTCTATTTTGAGTTGGTCTAGCCTTGTGTTGAGTTTTAGGCATGTCTGTGTCTCATGACATGATCTCACACTGTAAGAGACTGGTGGTAAATGATACCTATCTTAAGAGTTCAAATTGCAAAGGAACAAAGGGAAGTTGATGTTTCAAATCCAGGTTGTCTGGTAAAAAAAAAATCAATCAAATCACTGTGGACATATCAACGTTTAAAGTCAAGAAAACTAACATGCCTGCAAATCTGATGGCATCGGATAGTACCAAATCAGTTGGCTATAAGCTGTATGTGGATGGTTGTGACGTATTGACAAATGGAAACATACATTAAACATTGTACCTATGGAAAAAAGTATTGCTGAGAAACATAAAACCCTTTGAAAGATCACCTAATGTGTCATATTAAGAGGATATTGAACTGTAGAACATAGAACCCTAGTAGACATTGGTTAGCTTACGTGTCAGATACATCTGATATATTCCTTCTAATAAAATGGTAGTGTATAACTTTTTAATAAAACAGTACTTACTGCCAGAGATGCCAGGCAGCCCTGGAGGCTCCTCTGCAGCTGTGGCCATTCAGACCAGAAGCTGAACCTAGACTTGGTTGTCGTGAAACTCAGATCCTGGCTCCCTCCTGGACATCAAACGTATTCAGTTTATCTGTGTTAGCACGTCAGTTAGACAAAAAGTAGCTACTTAACAAAAACACCTCAGATGACTTCATGCCCCAAATATTGACAGCAGCCACGTTGGCTCTGCTGATGGGGGATTTGAAAATAAACAGGACAGGAGAGTTACCGTGAATAATGGAAATAAAGTTGAAAAAACGTTAAATGGAAGGATTCAGTGGATGCTACAACGAGCTAGCAAGAACTTTCTGAGGAGTCTGGATTACGACATTTAACATAACGAAGCCAGAAGCTAAATTAGCTGCTAACTCTGATTACACTTTTCTAACTTTAGCCAAGCTAGTCAGGCTCATGACTAACTAACAAACACACAAACAGAAAGCCAACTCACTCAGAAAGGTTGTGGAGAATTACTCGCCGTTTCCAAAGACAGAATAAATACACTTCTTACTCTTCTGAAGGCACTATTTCACCTAAAACTAATAAACAAGGAAGCAGTGCGGAAGCGGCAGTTTGGTGTTCTGTTCTCTTCCACAAAGAAATAGTATAATTTCCGGTGAAATTAGTTTCAGAATAAAACAGAACGTGCCTAGAAAACCGAAAAAATAGATGTATCGTAACAGCTAAAGAAATAAAGACAGAGGTGGAAGTTAAAAGTGGAAATACTACAGTGTTAAAATACTTTGATACAACCAAAAGCCCTGCATGCAAAATCTTACCTGAGTACAAAAGCTAGTAGAATAAAATGGAAATACTTAAGTAAAGTATAAGTACCTTAATGTCGTATTGAAGTACAGTACTTGAGTAATTGTACTTTAACATTACACCACTGAATATAGATATATATGTAGTTAAATACTCAAGTAGGTATTTAGAGCCATTAATAGAGTCCAAGTAGCAATTAGAACTGAAGCAAATAGTCAATAAATCTACAGATCAGCTTTTCCCTGTTTTACCAAACCAAAGATTAAGCAGTGACTGAATCACAAAAATTAAATGCACAATTACCTAAAAGTACAATTACCTAAATGTGTACTTAACTAATTGTTTATTTCATTTCACTCACCATTGCAATACTGTTGATACACTGACAATAGCATGACTAATTTCACAACACAAATGTGCCAATTATACTACTATGCAATTTTTATTTTGTTTTTATATTTTTTTGTATTTGTTCTGCTATTATCACAACTGTTTTCCTACTCTCAAGGATGATCTGTTCTGATTCTGAATGATCCACAATTATTTTGAAGCACAACCGGAAATGATCTGGTCTTTCGTTTGTTGGCCTGGAGCAAATTAACAGTTCAAATACAAAAACATACTGTACACATTTAAATATCTCAGTCAAACAGTTTTAAGATGTTTTATTATGTTTATTTGTGAATTTTTCTCCAGCTATTCAGGCCCAGCAGCACTTCCAAACTGTTTTTTAGTGATCACAGATCTGTGAATGTCCCACACCCCTATGTGTTTCATTACAGGAAACGGTGACCCCTGGTGGGCTATTTGTAAAAGGTTTAATTACATGTGGGATTTTTCTGTTACATGACATGACCTTGTTTCAACACTCAACTTGTTTTTTATTTCCTGTTACCATTTGTTCCAATGTATGTCAATTCCACTATCAGTAGCTTGTTAAGTGACAAAAAAAAGCAGTTGAGATCTTTTCTGTCTTCATTGCATCCTTTATTTCTCTAATAAAACAACATTACATGTCAGAAACTGTCTTATTTGAGTGTTGACTGAAAATGTGCAATTAAAAAAAACATTTTCTTGTTGTTGTGACAAAGCATGGGTAAATACAGAGATACAATAATACTTCAGCTGTTATCACCCTTACTACTGTCCTCCTCTCTGATAAGAACGGCAGGATACATCGCATTATACCTCTTATTATTATTATTATTATCTTGTACACATTTTTTTTCTTCTTACCCCCTAAAAGTTATACAATAGGCGTTTTTTGTTTTCTTTAATACTGTATATGTTATGTTGATTATCCCTTAGCAAGCATTTGCATCAAAGGTGAATCCTGCCTCCTCAGGGAACGGGGGTGCAGTGTAGCCTGGGGTTGTATCATAGTTTGGGTTTGGCAGCTCGCTGTTGAAGCAAGTCCAGCGAGCCTCTCCTGTGTCCGCACAGCACACATATGCCACAGTCATGGTGGAAGACTCTTCAGTACAGAACTGGGACAGGGCTTGTTTCCACTGTAAGAAAAACATTCATGGTGTCACAAAGTGGTATTTCATCTCCCCTCAAAAGCATCAGCTCAATCTGCACATCCTCACCATTCACTTAGTTAAATATGTGGCTTTGTTATTAGGTGCAGAAGACTACATTACTCTATGATTTAGTAATTCTTCAAAACGTTTATTGTCATTTGTATTTTAATCTGCTCATGCTGAATCTCTGAGGCCTTTTGGTCACCATGTAGCTATCTTTAAGAATAGGCACATACAAACTGGCATAAATATAATCTGTTCCTGAATTATGTTTTAAATCAACAGTTTTCATTGTTACATTATATCAATTATGTTTTTCGTGTTATGATTTGATTTTTTTTTAAAAACACATTTTTTTTTGTAAATCTTCAAATACAGAAAGTATTTTCTTTCTTTTATTTTTATTTTGATATACTTTATTAATCCCCGTGGGGAAATTGTTTCTCTGCATTTGACCCATCCTGTGTTAGGAGCAGTGTGCTGCCATTTTGAACGGCGCCCGAAGAGCAGTGTAGGGAACGGTGCCTTGCTCAGGGACACCTCGGTAGCACTTGGTCTTGCCGGGACTTGAACTGGTGACTTTCCAGTTGCCAAGCCAAGTCCCTATCGACTTCGCCACCACCGCCCTTGTTTTAAAATAACCCCAAATAAAAAAGACATGTACATGAGGACATTTAAACATTTAATATTATATTCCCTGATGAAAAACTAAGAGTTCTAAGTGTAGTTGGGCTTGTTATTAAAGCAGGGGAAACATTTTACAAAATGCATTTATCATAGTAATTTTTGTTTTGAGGTTCGAATATTTTATAACATTCGAATTGGAATCTGAATTATATTTCTAATTTAATCCAAAAGCTGATGTATCTAGCTAAGAGTCAGGTTTCCTCTGCATACATATATTTATAAATACCTATGTAATATCATTTCTCCCCCACACACACACTCACAGCTTGTTGTGTGCAGCAGAGGATCTGGTCCTCCTGTCCTCTGCAGCACAGACTGAACCACGACTCCATACGGTTGATGGAGTTTCCACGGCGACGGAAGTGACTGACCCCGGAGTTTGGAAAGAAGCTGGACAGGTATCTGGGACGACCCTGACCCAGGAGGCAGACGGCAGCAAGGTTCTTCACTGTGGGACATGCAGGCGGGAAAGGCACGTCAAGCTCATTCAGAGAGCTTTTCTTGGTCTCTGTGGGAAAAGATTCACAAAAGTTAACAGCATTGCAATTTGAAGAGTACATTAAGTATAAATGCTTGAAGAATCTTAAAGCAAATACCTCCCACATCTGCGCCATGGAGGGTCAGCAGTGCGAGTATCCAAAATCCTGAGAGGCCTACAATCGAAATCATAGCTGTATGGTAGCAGGAGCTTTAATTTTGAAATTTCTCTCCAACAAGCTGCTTGTGGTATTGTGACCTGAACGTTACCAGCTTATATGGGTGAGGGGACTGGAGTCTGTGGGCGTGAAATGCTTGGAAGTGGGGGTGTAAGAGATTAAGGGAAATGGTGTGTATGTTTGAGTGTGCTTGTGGGGGTCAATGTCATGTCCTGTCAAGATAAAAACGTAATGAGTTTGAACCTTGGTGATATCTGCTGATACAGACAACATAACAATTTGTTCTCAAAAGTCTGCATTCGTAAGGGAAATAAATAATCCAGGGCCCTGATAATACATGTCGTAATAAGCCCTTTTCACCGCAGAAATGTTGACTTGTTATCCGAGGAAAAAAACATTCTAACAAAGCTAAAATAAAAACAAGTGTCTGTTAATCTACTTGATGGTTTTGTGGGTTGGAGTGAGAGGGAACAACTTGTTGAAAGTTGTCCAACTTGTCTTTCATGGCAAAAAGTTGTTCCGAATGTAAAAACAGTGGTGCCTTCAGGTGTTCAACAATGCTGGAGCATAACTTTCTTCGCAAGTCCGTGGACAACATTTTTTCTTTGATCTGTTGTGTGAAATGAGGAGTGTGAAATACAATAACAGACTTATTATTTTGGAAAATAAAAAAGTCCTCCCAGTATTAGGTAATCTTTGAATAGCAGGCCAAGCTATGATTCAAGGTGCCCTCAGTAGAATAACACTCATCACATTGTGATCATACCTCAGGCAAAATGCTGCTGTGGAGTTTCCTTTCTGAGTAATACAGTCTGTGCTGCTACTTAAAGGGGACCTATCATGCAAAATGCACTTTGTACGTCTTTTATACATGAATATGTGTCCCCGGTGTGTCAGGGAACTCACCAAGTCTCAGAAAACACAACCCTCTCACTAAAACCGGGGCTGCAACGGAGCTGATACAGACTGATACAGATTTGAAATTGTTCTGACGTCAGAAACAGGGAGCTCCGCCATATGGGCAACTCTCCACCTATCAGGGGAATGGGGGGTTGGGCCACGGCCATTGCCGCTCGAAAGCGCTGTAGATGCTGTGGTACATATGCCAGGCCTGTAGGTGGCGCTGTAGTCTGCCACAAAAGCAGCGAAGAAGACTTCTCACAGAATCAGCCCTTGCAAAAACAGGGCTGGAAAAGAGCAAATAGAGCTAAATGAGCCATGGCTAAAATGCATGATCTGTTTGGTATTTTGAAAAAAAACTTCACAGACATGTTTTATATAGGTATGGCCCGACAATATATTATTCAAATATAGCATGATAGGTCCACTTTAAATTGAATCAAACATCGTCTGGTATTTATGGAGCATGAGGTGGTAAAGTGTTGCCCGATATAGTTTCTTACTTGTAAACAAAGAAAGAGTGGTAGGTTGTCTTTTTCCTGAAACTGCGGAAAACGTAAGATTTGTCAAAAGGCCCCATCACAGACTGATTGGGAATTAAGTGTTCATCAGAGCATGATCGAGTTTGAGAAATACTGTGATAAACTGCATCTTGTGATTGATAATACCAACAAATCTGCTTCTAAGCTGCTAAAACGAAAACTGTGTCCCATCTGCACTATAAGTGACACATGCCAAAACAATTCTCTATGTCAAAAGGATATTTGAAAAAAAGAAAAATCTGTGAATTCATTTGGGGATTTCTTTTTTTTAGGAAAAAAGTGTTGAGCACTTGTTTGGTAAGCCGGTGATGCTTTGCTGACTGGATAAAATGGGAAGTGGCACAGCCTGGCACCTGTGTCAAAACAACTCTGAAATGTCAGACTTTATGGTAAACTCGCTAACCCCTGTTTTAAAAAACAGGCTGAGTGTGCTTTCTGTAATCAGAAATACTCAACCTCTCCTCTCATTTCGTTATCTACAAACAGAGTTTTGATTTGCTACATGTGAGAGGAAGGAAGGATGCACTCGCTGGACAATCAGTGAGTTCCCTCCCTACAATTCAAACAATTCTCGCACAATTATTTCAGCTGTCGGCATTGTTCTGTTAGAAAGTTGATTGAATCACAAGCTAGCTGATGGTTGAGATATTTTATATTTTATATCTTGTATAATATGTAATGTCAATTTATTTCAACAACATGACTAAGTCCATAAAAATCCATCAGTATTTGATTGGTCTCTTTGTGTTTTGGGTGTTTATTGGGGTGTGTCTTTAGATGTGTCATTCCTCCACCCTTCACATGTGCACTGTCATCGCCAATGCAATCTGCAAATGTCAAATACTGACTCATTTGATTCATATCTTTCTCATGGAAGTATAGTTCTATCGTTTGTTTTTGTTATTTGGTATCCATGGTCCTTAGAGACTCTCTCATATATTTCTAATGTAACCCTTAAGCTCGATCAATTTTACCTGAAAATAGTAAAAGCGGTTGGAAAAATTGGCACAATATGTCTTACAATATAAAATCACCTGGTGTTTGCATTTATCATGTATTCATAATAAGTATTTTTGATGTAAGTCTATTATTTAATTTGAGTCGAACTGTTGAATTGTCTGAAGCTTAGCGCATCACAATCCTCATACATTTAGCATTATGTTTAGGTGAGAGGGTGTTTTGTGAGTCCATTTATGATCCTGTGATTCTTTAAACTAGTTCAACAAAACCCTGACAAGTTGAGAATTTGGCTTTCACCTGACTTGTAATATTTGCCAAGAGAAAGTGTTGCCTTTTGATTAGAGATTTGGTTGATGACATGGCATCCGTGCCGCGCCCTGTCACCTTCTCCCTGATTGGCTTTCCCTGCATTACCAAGACAAATAAAAGGACATAAATCGAAATACCTTTTACGGGATCCTTGGTTTTGTGGTTCAGGTAAGGTTGATTTGCAAATATTACAGACGCATAAATATACTTAAACAAACCACTCAAATATGGTTTAAAGCTAAATGTTGCTGTAACAGCTTGATTTTAGTATTTATATCTTAGAAGATACCCTTTGTGCTTTAGTATTACAATTGTGAAATGCTCTAATGAAGGCTTCATGCTCAAAAATCTTTTATTTGTTAAAGTCTGATGAGGTAGAAAATACAGTTAAACTCTCATTTTAATACAATTTTAGTTTAATTATTGTATTTATTGTATTAGTGTTGTCAAAGTGTTCACCTCTTCAATCGTATTCCCTTCTTCATGCATTTTTGAAGTGGGTTACATTGTGCCAAAATCCTGTCTCTGCCTCTTGTTAAACTCCTGCCTTCGGTTCTTTTCTGAATGATAACATGCTTGTTAGTTGTCAGACAGCCATCATTTTGTCTATTCTTGGAAATGTAGATACTTTTTTTAAACAATTTGAACAGTGTTATTTTGTGTCTAAGATTGTGCTCTGTTGTTTTAATGCTATTGTATGGATAACTTTGTCAATGTGTTTAAATTATTTTAGGTTCAACAATGGAAGGGCCGGTCTACTGTCTGGTGGTTGTACTGCTCGGTGGTAAGTCAACAAAAGAAAGCACATTTTTTACTGCTATGAATGTGCTTATGTTTGAAAACTTGCCTCGTCGTAGTGGTATCACTTATAACTAGTACATATTATTTCTATATTTACATTTTCAGGCTGTCAGGAGAACATGTCATTTCATTTAACATTGGTGGAAAATAACTTGATTATTTCTGTTATTAAGTCCATACGTCTACCCTACATGCCGAGGCAAAATTATGTATTGTTTTTTTGTCCACCACACTTATTTGATGACTTTATTATGTATTTACAGCAAATTCATATAATGAATACTAAATTATAATCAAAAAAGTATATTAAGTGGTAAAAATCTGCTTATTTATTAGCAGCTGCATTAAAGCATTGACAACAATAATGCACCAATAATATCTGTCCAATGTTCACTAATATAATATACAATAGTCTAAAATGGGTGATTTTTTTGATCATGAAGAGTTTATCTTTTGGTATGTTCATACTTGTATCAATTTTATTTAAATACAATTCCGATTATTTATAAATTGTGCTATTTCTATGTTTACTAACTAAATTGTTCTCACTGGCATTTAAAGATTTTTCTGCTAACCAATTTTCTCATTTTTTGTGATTTCTTTCCAGGACTCTGTTCTGCTTCACCAGCAGGAAGAGATTTTGCCACATCTTTCATGCAGAACCTTTACGCGGACACTAAAGATACTCGTTTCCTGGTTGAGGTCACTGCTCTGCCTTCTTCACAAGGCAGCACCAAGGTCAAGGTGTCTGCTATGGGTGAGGTCTTTGAAAAGGAAATTAGTCCTGGTTCGAGCGGCTCCTTCAAACTACCTGACAGTGTGGAGATGAGAGGCAGTGAAAAGTTCAATAAGACTGTGCTGATCGAGGCGAGCCAAGATATCACTGTGATGTCTCTCAACTTTAAGCAGTACACGGCCGACACCTCTGTGATTTACCCAGTGAAGGACTGGGGGACTGACTACTTCATATTCACTCCTAACAGCAACCTGAAAGGCACCTTTAAAGAATTTTCTATCACAAACCACAAGGAGCCTAACTTTGTTGAGATTTTACTACAGGGCTCTGTGAGATTCCAAGGGAAATATTACAGGAGACAAAGCAAGATATCCCTGAAGCTAGAGCCGTTTGAGACCGTTCAGATTCAGAGTCACGATAACCTGAGAGGTACTAACGTAGTGTCCCGCCTCCCTGTCGCCGTCTCCTCCGGACATAGCTGTATTCAGAAGTTTACTGCCTGCAACCATGTCTATGAACAACTTCTCCCTGTAAACAGCTGGGGGAAAGAATTCATCATTGCACCCCTGCCCTACCGCTACCTATTTTCTACATATGATAGTGTTATCGTCCAAGCATCCCAGCACACTGAAATAAGCGTGAATTTCAATGGAAAGGTGCAGAGTTACCATATGTTTGCGGGACAAACTATCGAGCTCCAGTCTCAGTGGCCACATCCTATGTATTTGAAATCAGACAAAGGTGTCCAAGTGCTGTTTGAATTCAACGGAGGTCCTGATGACGTAGTCCAGTCTGTTGATCCCTTCCTGATGACTATACTGCCCACAAGTCATTTCAGCACCTCCTACTCCC